AACACGAGAAGAACTGAATGAGATGAGAGAGCAACTGATTAAAATGGAGGAATTACTGCATATGCATAGACTGCGTCTGTTGAATGCAGAGCATACAAGTACCCGTGAAAGTCCTGCAAAACTTTTCAAATCTCGAATTCTCAAAAAGCATCTGATGTCCACGACTTCTAATGTACATTATTACAAAGGGAATGACTACAGACCTTCTGTTGGAATCATACTACAAAAAATGGGAAATCGAGTGGTGAAGATATTAGACATCAAAGATCACTCAGTTCATAATAGACACCTGGACAAAGTGACAATAAATGAAGTAGGTCGTTCCAATTATAATATTAATAATTCCGCTACTAATCCTGATTTTGTAGATAATTCTGAAATGAGTCCAGATAATACTGATGAAAATAATATCACAGAATCAGTTAAGGTCGCAGCTACTTGCAAGCAAACCGAGACATCGTTATAAATACGCAAGGAGATATTCGACGTGTGGCGGATGTGGTGATTGACAATTTCTATCTCTGTATTGTTTAAGTACTTACTGTTGATTGCTAATATGTTTCATATATGAATTGAAATATAATTCCGCTAAATACAAATTCCTGAATTCCGCCCTCTCTGTGTTTTGTTTGGATTCTTGTAATTCGATCATCTCGAAATACTAATATTACGATTACAATAAATTACTACAGTTGTGCTCTCCGTCACTTCGCCTTCCCACTGGTTCATAATACCCTCTCGCTCTACTAATACCCGTGTTGCATTCTTTGGAATTTGCAGGAAAAAAACCGTCTGAATATTGTTTGACAACCTGTGAATAGCTTCTACCAGTGGACATGACCCCAGCAGTGGAACAGATGTGTAGATGATATAATTGATTTGTAGTTGTGGAGTCTAACTGAATTCCCAACTAATCACTAACTTTTATAACTCGTCAACTGTATTATTATAATATACTGTTTTGATATTCTTTCGTTAAATTAGATTTTTATTCTGACATTCTATACCGTTACCAAACTTGCTATTAAGTCCCCTACACTCTGTAAATTTTTACGTCATCTATGTAGACAGCGGTAGGGATTTGGTGGACCCAAGGAACTGTCAGACTTACAATTTGAATAAGAGGGGTCCAGTACAGTACCCTGTGGTACTCTAGTGCACACTAACGTCCCGGGGGAGGGTTTTGAACTGACCTAGGCGTTATATCTCCTGTCTATGGTGAGCAAAGCACGCCCGGTATCAAGACTTTTCATGAAACTGAAAAGTCTTGAGTGAGGTACCTTGTCGAAGGTCTTAATGAAGTTTATGAAAGTGATTTCCCTCGACCTGACCCAGCCTTTCCCCGCTACAATCGGGTTTGTCATGAGTGAGAGGATTCCACACTGTTCTCTGCACAACGAGCTGTCATTTTTCGGACATGTCGTGAGGCTTCCTTGATAATATTTTAAGGTATCCGGACTAAAGTAATGGTAGTATAGCTTGAAGGATAGTCTCAGGACCCTCTTGTGTGGATGACAGTTAATGTGGTGTCCCTTCAGGCTCGATGCAAGACTTGATTTAACAGGGGTAGCTTGAAGGTTGTAGCCAGTCAGACTGTGTGAGCTACCAACCCCAGGAGAAGCGCTGGACGATAGACCGCGGATCCTGTTTACTTCTCTGGTTCTAATTCATGCAAGGATTAGAACACAATGTTTCTGTTAGCACCGATTAAGTTTGCTCTATTTGCCTCATCCCATAGCCAGAGTCCTTATTATAAGGGTTAACGACTCCCATGTGAAGACCTTTAAAACTTGCCAACCACTGCTTGCACTTTTTCTGGGTCCTCTATGATTGTATAGTTATTAGTAGACAGGTTATAAAATGGTTTTATGTCTTATTCCTGAAGTTCATGTACGAAGATATTTCCTTCAGCTTAGCTACTCGCTTTGATCTAGACGTATTCTGAACTTCACCCATGACTAAAGAATTTCCACAAAAGCTGTATTCCTGGCAAATATGCATAGCTTTCTGGTCCTTACGGTCCGAGGTGTATTGAACATGTACTGGCATTGAATTGCTTGAACTGGCCCTGTCCAGCGTCTAAATAGGACTAGACTTATTGACATTCCGGCAAAGATGCCGCCGAAACTATGGCATTTATGTCAGCACTGCAGACATATGATAGAATTGGCGTGCTGACCTGCATTACTGCTGTTGCTATGATCTTGCATATAAGCAGAGAGTAATCGTTTCCCCTTAGGAGGAAATTCATTTTAAAATGTCCACATTTTCAGGACGGGCGAAAATCAGCCCCAAGATAAGTGAGAAGGGCTGTAAATTATAACGCGTCGACTTCCTGACGTTCGTTACGAGACCTAATGAAACGATGTATCTTAAAAGTTTATCGTTAAAGGAATTGGAATCCCTTTCTGTGAACCAGTTGAAGATTATCGTGTCTGGCTGGCCTGGGTGAGTATAGAAAGTTAGGTGGGATATGCCTCTAAATGTTGTCAACTAGCTGTTTCTGTGAAGGCTTGATACACCACCCACAATCATTGAATGATGAGACAAACATTTAAACTTTATCCGTTGGAGGGCAAATCTCATATATATAGTCGGTAATAAACGGTTTGTACAACTAACATTTTAATAATATGAATGACAGGTCTTGAAATATACCTTTTTGACTACGATTAGGAGTAATCTTCCATAGTGTTTAGTGTATAAAACCTCTGTTTATTACGGCTCCTATAAATCCCGATTATGTGACCCAGTTTTATGCTTGAACTGTAATAATTCAAGGAGTTCACTGCGCTGCCTATAGAAATTACTTTCCCAAGAGGCGGGCAGTGAGAATAGTAAAGCTTTGGTTGGAAATACGATATCGTAAGTACAACTAGTCACCCATTCTTATCTGAGGTGGAGCTTATTCAAATTTACTGGACAAAAATCCAAGATTCATCGTCATGGTAAATTAATTTGGATTGTAAAATCCCCCTTTTGTTAATATTAAGACTTTGGTGACAGTTCATTACAATTCTCCCAGCAAACTACCGTAAAAATGACCCTCTTTAGACTATCTGATATAACCATTAGGAGAAGGTGTTGTTTGAAATTTATTAATAGAACTAACATTATGTGGAAAAGACCTTTATATATCGAAATGATCTGTTATATATTTCAGGAACGTCTCCCTCGATAATTGTTGTGGCCATCGCACAGCTCTTCTCAAATTCGCTATTACTCAGACTTCAAGTTACAATCCAGATCTAAAAGAAATCTTGTATTGGAACCAGAAATGTTGAAGATATCGCAGAATTTTGTCCTCAACAAAATACATCCTGTTACAATATAAATTTTCAATTTCGAAGCTACCAAAGTGGATGGCATTTAGCAACATGTGCATTCAAGCAAAAACTGTACTTTTGAACAGATTAACCAGATAATCTTCTAATTTACATTAAGACTGTAAAACGTAGGAATTTGGTGTATGAAAGTATGACATCCACAGTAACTGTGTTTAAGAAAACCAATTCGGGTATGGCAACACCTTGATTTTGCTGTAGACGATGTTATTATGCCTTTTACCGCTCAAACCCTACTCGTGATGTGACTCCTGAAACCCTCGGTGAAGGAGCGTACCACACAGGCAGTCAAGGAAGCGATAGCATTTTGAATTCCCACTGTTGATAACAACTGCACTAACTACCCTATCAGTCCATTAGCATAACTATTTCAGTTACTGCTAGGATGGTCAGTAATAATGTACTATGCCTCAAAATGGGCATGTTCTGGGCTGTTCTGTGGGCTCATTATCTACAATTTACTGAAATACACAATCTGAATGACATTCGCGACGCAGTTTGTGCGTTTTCACTATGTGCTAACCTGATTGGTTGTTTAGGGTCACTGGCTCGGGGCACTGTATTTTACTCTCCTAAAATTTCGCATGCATTGAGTAATTGAGATTTGTACTTCTTGAGGATTTGGAAACATCCTCTTCTAAGGTGGAGCTTTTTGGTTCTAAGTAGTCAGTTGTCATATTCAAAAAGCTACATAGCCTTCGTCAATGCGTAATGAAACTGCAGAATATTACAAGGAGGTTGGAAACGTTGAATGGCCTGGTGCCAAACCGAGACGTAACACCAGAACTACGACAATATCTTCAGCAATCAAAACAGGATCGGTTATCGTCACCACCACCGTCAAAGGGCAGTTACGAAGGTGAGGGCTGAATCCTTTTCCCTAAAATTCAACGCCAAACAGCGTAGGGAAAGCTTCACTAGTCGACGGCCTTAAGAGAATGGAAAGCCACACACACTGATGCTACAAACATCCAACTTATTCTGAATTAACTTGAGTATTTTCGCTACATTATTTCACTGCAGTTCTGACCTGTATTCTTACTGGTCTCGCTATGCTTTCTTATTTCTGATATGTGTGAGTGGGCCCTCTCTCTCATACTTGTCTTACACGCCACCCCCACTCTAGTCTTCTTTCTGCATAGTCTGCTCAACTTGTCTATTTCGGTTTTCTCAACAGTATTTGTCAACCTAACCGAAGGATTATTAGACGAAGCGAACTTAGTGATATCCGATAAATGTCTAGAACCATGGTGAAATAACGATAAGCGAACACCAAGAAATAACATGGATTAAATAAGCTCTTTAAAATTATGTAGAATAAAGGGTTATATCTGTGAATTGAATTTCTCACCAGGTGCTGCTTTATTTAGTTATGATCTTAAATAGTAACCGTTGAAAAATGTTGCCAGTGAAATGCAATTCATCACATTCTCTTGTCCTGCAGTTTTGGGTATGGGGAAGGATGAGTGATGATTCTGGGTGCTATCTTTGTCCTGTCTTCCCGATAATAAGAAAAGCAACTAAAAACACTTCAAAGTGCACAACTATCGTGACGTAGATATTTACTGTAAGTTAACTATCAGTCAATTCAAAGATTTTTTCTGCTTTTGTTTTACTTGGTTGTCATAGATTCCTAAACTCTGGCGGATATATAAAATGATATCCGAAATTTCAGAAGTTGCTAAACCCGTTCTCATTCCACCGGAGTACATACATTACGCAGATCAACAATCTATTTTTGACCTAATTCAGGTAATAAACACCCCTGTTTACTCTCCAGAGGTTGCTGAAACTTCTGATAATTGACAGGCCTGAAGATCCAATATCCTATCTCATTAAATACTTAGAAAAAGATATTAACGATGGTAACCAATTTTTCTGATTATTGTTAAAGTTCCTTCTATTTTTATGTTTGGGCCAAGATACGCTGGTAAGAAAACCCTGGCTCGCTTGCTGAAAGAGAAGTTACACTGTGTTGTGCTCAATGGAGAGGAGATATATAAACTCTGTACAAATGAGAGAGTGAGTTAAATATCCTCAAGAATCGCCTTTTATCAATTTTATAACCACCCACAGTTGAGATGTTCGCAGTACATTTGCAGGACATCTTTTGATGGACACTACAATTAATTGTTGTGTCAGTTTAAGAAAACGGTAAATCTTATTACATGAAGGAACATGCAGTAGTGGTAACAAACAATTCGATAAGGTCAAGAAAATATTGAGCATCAGATGCGCTAAACAGCACTGATATGTAATTTCCATATAGTAAGCATAACTAAAGATAATGCAGGTGAAATTATAGGCTTCCCAATAGAAGGAAACAACACCTTGTGAAAAGCTAGGTGTTAATGTTCACTTTCACACAGCCGCGTGTGCACCTCACAAATGAATTTCTGTCCCCTTTTAGGGATTCATTGGCGAAGTATCAGTGTCCTCGTAACAGTTTAAAAAGCTATGTGGCAGCAAATAACTTCGAAAAATTATATCCTCATCAGCTAACATTAGTTTTGAACTTTTAAGTTTGACTTGATCTGTTAAGCCGCAGGTAGGCTATGAGGAACCCACAACATTACGTATACTTAATGTTCCCTTTTTTTCTTCACGTTCCCAGTGGAACATAGGGCCCCAAGCCAGTGGCTTGAAGTTTCTTTAGCAGTGTTTATTTTACAGGATGGGGTTGCTAGCCTCATGCCCAACCTTTCCTCTTTACCAGCATTATTTTTGGCCTAGCGAGGTAAAGGAGTGCGCCGGCCGGGGACTGAACCGCGGACCATGTGCATGGTCGGTGGGCGTTCTTACTTATGCCACCGACGCACCATGCTGAGTCATTATTTAGTTCACCAGGCGTCGCCATCAAACATTGCTGGTAATGAAATATACTTTGTATTTCAGGCAATCTAAATGTCACTTTCTGTTGCTGCTGCTTGCTGACTGCTTTGTGGTCACGTTGAATAAGCGCATTTTGTGGCGAACAACTAACTTCATGAATAATTTTATGGTATTATCATCTGAGCACATCAACATCCCTCATCTTCTAAACATGTATAAAAATGCATATGTAAATGTATGTAAATGCATAATTAGCTTAATTCAGAATTTAAATAGCTTATCTCTAAGGCTTTAAACCGCGTTTTACTTTTAGAAGCCTAGAAATAACAGAGCATATCGGAAAAGCATCTACAATTTCACAAAGTATATTGTGAACTGCCAGTTTATTTAACCAAGATAAACTCTGTGTTAGAGGAAGTCAACTGAGATTTTCCTTTTTGACGACTATCTATGGTGTGTTGGTGGTGTCGGCCGGTGGTCTAAATCGAAATCTATAGCAAAAGGTTGATCGTTACCAAAGTATTTTGGAAAACATATAAAAACTGGCAGTGTACCTTTACTAGGAAAGTAGTGGCTGCTTACGAATGAACATAATCTATTCGAGAAGTAGATAAATGGTATACTGATACCTATTATGTGTGGCTAGACTATCCAGATGAAATTTATGTAATTTTGACTCCTGGACTTTTCTTAAAGTACACTGACAGTTGCGTTCCTCTGTGTGGTTACTGAGACTTAAAGTACAATCCAAGTATATTTGCTCACTAATCTTCACTTTATTATTATCTTCCATTTACCAACAATACATTTTTATAGTAATATCACTGTTTTTCAGTTACTTTTGCTGAGTAACAACATTAATTGATTTACATCTATATAAGTTTATGTTTTTTCAACCTTTTTTAGATAAGACTCTCTGTAAATCAGTAACATTGTTATTTATTCTTAAAATCACTTTGATCCCAGAAGGGAATACTGACAATTTATTGGAGGGAAATTCAATGACAGATGTTAACCATTTGTATTTTGCACAGCTTTTCTGCTTTGAGAATGCTCCTCATTATGTTCCCTATTTTTTCTAAAGGGAAATGTAGTGAAATGTCACACTTATCCCTACTTTTCTGTTATATAGCTATCAATACAGAATGAAGATCATACAAAATGTCACTTTGATTCTCGCAAATTTAACCAGTTAAATGGATTCTAGAAACAAAAGAGTGCTAACTAGCTAAGTAACTTTACTCGAGAATAGTACGGAACAGTACGATTATAGATATTCATACTGTTACTTTAGAAAACTGGAGACTACTATTTCATCATTTTGCTAATGGGAAGCTGAATAAAGACGAAAGATGTGTAGTCATTTAACATGGAAAGAATATGCTTTCCATGGTGGTCAAAAATCATAATAAGGCAAAGATTTCAAAAATTTTACTCCTTATATGATTCTATCCTCTATCAGATTTTCTTCAAAAATGAGAAATTTTCGTAATGCTTTTAAGCGCTTATTCCTTATCCTATCTAGAAATGCATGTATTTATATATGTATTTATGTATACATTGTTTCTAAACCATTGCATATGTTATTGACATGACATTAGATATTTGAGACTAAACATGAAGTACATTTTTCCTCTTACAGAATGCCTCACCACAAGAACTGACTGCTGCCTTAAAGAAACGACTTAAAGAACCAGATTGTGAATCAAAAGGCTATATTATTGTTGACTTTCCACGATTTGAAAGTGAAGCCAAAGCACTCAGACGTGAAGGAATATTTCCTGAATATGCCAGTATGATTAAATACCTATGTTTTCTGAATAAAATCTGTCTTAGTATTTTTGGAAGCACCTTTGCCATTATTGATTGAAACGGTTTCAGCAAAAAGAATCGATCCGCAAACTGGAGGTGAAATAGAAAAAAATTTCTTGTGTATCATAGAATGATTTTTCTTGAATTTTCAGATCTGTATAATATGATATACAATCCACCCCTTGATCCGCTGGTCGAACGACGTTTACGAAAACTTCCAGGAAATGAAGAAGAAGATGTTAGAAAGGAATACGATGACTATAAAAGAGAAGTGGTTTTACTAAAGAATATTTATTCCAGTGTGGCCTATGAGTTTAATGCAGACCAACCAACTACTGATGTATACTCTGCTGTTCTAGGGAAAATAAATCAACGACATCGAAGTATTGCACTGAAAACACCTAGAATAATTTTACTTGGTTATCCTGGTGCTGGTAAAAAAACTCAAGCAACACTACTGGCTAAGAAATATGGATTAATATCAGTGGATTGTGGACATCTTGTACATCAGGAAATTGCTAATCAGTCTTCTATTGGAATATCATGAAGACTTATGTTTATAAAGGTTTACCAGGTATGTTTTTGTTGGTAGCTGTTAGACTCAGACTCAGCGATATACAGCGAACAGATAGAGAAATCATTTAAAGGATTCATTTCGATGCAGTAAACTACCTTAAATGTTTTTATTTTCTCCAATGACAGCTTATTGGCAATCAGATAGGACAAAATAGAAGTTCAGATAGTTCTTGTCTTTTGGACACGATGACTAAGTTGTTCGGCTGTACGCCTAACATAACTGTTCTCACAATAACAGTCAAAACATTAACAGAAATGAATGCGGCAAAACTAGCTGACTCATCGTTAGTGTCCACGTAACTGCCATTCGTTGACTAGGAAATAACAAGCACAGGTTTGCTGGAGAAGTGTTCTTAATTGTAATTATTATGCCTACTGGTCATTCTAAGAGAACTTCACTTGATATATCACCACTAAACTCCAAGTTAATAAATAATAGTCACTTAATCATAATCTTCAGTATCGAGGTGTACTCAGTTTTTAATATACCTCTTTCTTGAAAGAAACGGTTGTTAATTCTCATTCAAGGATAAACGAATGCAGTTTTTCACATTCCTACAAAGGAATTTTTCTTGCTGCGCTTCTATGATATTTAACCAAATTATCTTTGTAATGAACAACTTTGCCTAGTTTATTAGCTTTCTAGTAACGAATAAGTACATGTTTGTGTTCGATGTACTGACCTGTGTATATGTTCTACCCATACACGCTTCTGCCAAGTGAATCATCTTCTTGTTTGGTTGGCAGAATATCATGAAAGTGAAGTTTGTTTTTGTGATCCTTTTCACAAGTGAAAATAAGAGATGGATGTGTTTTTTATTTAATGTCACCAACCATCCATTGAAATTCACCTTTTAATCAATTATGATAAATATGCCATCGACATAGCGGTAAATTGTTTCTATACTGATGATGACATCTTTCAATCGAATATCCTCAAGTTTCACTGGGAAGAAGTCTGATTAAATCGATCCCACTGATAAGTTCATAGCGATTCCACACATTTGTCTTTATTGTGTTTTAGTAACGAGTTGTGCATTTATTGTACACCCAAAGAATAATTCCTGACGATTTCTAATGTGAACTAGCTTTTCATCGGTTTGCTGGTATAGAAAATCAAACTATTGCCATAACTGTTATGTTTTTGAATACTATTCATAGATCCAGGAATATGATGCTTTTCTTCTCATATATGTCATTGGAAATTTACGATCAAAGCAGAAAACATAATTTATCCTACAAGTCTTAATTTGTTTACGCTCGTAAACAAAAATTTGAACTAACCGCTTGTATTTCTACTCCATGTTGAAAAATATATATCTAGGACCTCGCGACGGTGAAGTCCCAGTTTGAGCAGATTCTATAGTCGTGAAACGCGATTCACTATTAGGCTCCATTGAATTATTCATGGCTGTCAGAAACATTTCTTTTGGTTACAATTTCTGTAAGGAATACCTCATTAGGTTTTCAGCTTTTTCATATGATACTTTAAAAATTACCAGTAAATTGGAATTTCTTCTGATAATTTCGAATAAATTCCATTGTACACAAATATATTTACTCATAATTATAAACACCTTCATTAGAAATTCAACAGAACTGTTTCTATTCAGAATAATTAATGTGATTGCAGGATTTCATCATGAGCTGACATTCGTTAGATAACCAATGGAAAACCTGGGAGTACTGGACAGCTGTTTCGTCCTAGTTTGGGACTCTTCAACAGTACGCACCCATCACCACGGTTCGAACCGAAGACTTTCTGGTTACAAGGCGAGCTCGTATACCATTAAGTCACTGGGACCCGATTCAATGGCCAGTCCATGAATTCTAACTTCTGCCAATTCACGATATAGCGCAACCGCTACCCAATATCTTCGGCGAGTATTTATCCCGACACCCGACCTGCTGCGCCCTACTAGGCCATTGGATCGGGTCCCAGTGGCTCAATGGTATACGAGCTAGCCTTGTAACCAGAAGGTCCTGGGTTCGAACCCTGGCGGTGGGTGCGTACTGATGAAGAATCCCAAACTAGGATGAAACAGCTGTACAGTACTCCAGGTTTTCCAATGGTTCTCTAACGAATGTTAGCTCATGATGAAATCCTATAACCAATCAACCAAATCCCTACAAACTAATACTTGAATTAATAGTGAAAATTACCGATTGTTACTAGATGGTCGGAAGCAATTATTAGGAAGGAAGACTCGACCTAGGTTTTGTGCTTGTTACTGTTCGTCAATAAGGTTTACCTCGGTCTTAAAGAAACTCATGTTACTTCTGAGATTCCAACCCGTGCCACCCAGTGACGCAGTCACAGACATTGCCACTGAGCTTTTCGGGTTCACGACTGACCTCCTGTAGGACTGTATTGGATACTTTGATTGAACGCTGGATAGTAAGTAACTGTTGTCGTGTGCCTAGTCCTTCGTTTGATGCAGACTGAATTCTATCATTCATATTTGTAATATGACCATCATGCTAGGAGGCCTAGCGTTACAATGAGCCCTGAATTGCTGGAGGCAACTATCAGGAAGCCTTGGTGTCTTTTTAGTCATAGTATTAAATCTTTTTGGTTTTGAGTTCTGAATTCAGAATTATTCGTGCAAACATTTCGTAATAACTGTACACCTAGTGTTTATTTATCCTTTTCTCTTACTATTTACAGTTCCAGATGCAATAATCTCAGAAGCAGTAAAAAATAGATTAAATCAAATAGATTGTGTTACATACGGCTGGATACTTTATGGTTATCCCCGGACACGTCAACAAGCTGAACTTTTGTCATCCAATCAACTAGCACCGAACAGAGTTATTTTATTTGATATACATCAGTCATGTGCATCAGAAAGACTTTCTGGACGCAGAGTTGATTCCGTGACTGGTACACGTTTTCATACATTATTTGAACCAGTAGAGGATGCAGCAATTAATCAACGGGCTTTACAACATCCTAAAGATCGAGAGTGTACTATAGGCGCGAAATTGGCTAGATTTACTGCTCATCGTGATGACCTTATTGATTACTATGACTCAAGTGTTATTCGGGTGCATGCAGATCGAGATGTGCATACTGTATTCGAGGAGATTGAAGCTGCCATTGTAAATCCATTGCCACGATTGAATTTGGCCAAATAACCATGGACTAAAACACACAAACATATATAAAATCTTTATGTAGACGAAAAACTAAAGTGAAATAAATAAGTTAATAATTTGAATTCTCTTCTTTCTTAATGATTTATTCCCCGTATTTATCACTTTTTTGATACAATAAATTTTTTTTTTCATACTGAACAATAATTTTTATAAACAAATCGTCTTGTCACCTGTTAAAATTTCTATAGGATCAAATTGAAATTCAGATTAGGAAACCTGACCCAGCCCTTGTTAAATATGCTCGAATACATCATTTATATGAAATTTTCGAGGTAAGAAATCATTCAAATCATTAACCATATTGGTAAAGATTTATCACACTGATTGATTGTTCTAATTTTAACTAACTTTTAATTGAGATTGGTTACAGGATCTAATCATGAGCTGACATCGGTTAGAGAACTATCGAAAAACGTAGGAGTACTGGATAGCTGTTCAGTCCTAGTTTAGGACTCTTCATCAGAAGTGGAAGTACTCTTACATGTTGTGTACAACAGATGTTTCACTATTTTTCAGAGCTTGTGATGTTTGATTTATCCAGGAATAATAACATGACATTAAGGTTATTCATTCCCCATATTTTAGTGTAGCAGACAGCCTGAAATGTAGCAGACAGTTAGTAAAGAATAAAGACTCTCCTTCGCGTAATCGTTACTTTACTTCATTCATAACTTTTATGTTTCAGTCAAATAAAACTGTAAAAACTCTGGACATTTGTGCAAAGCTTCCGTATATTCATATATTTTTTAATGGCATACCAAAAAATCTTCTTAAAAGCTGTGTAACGGGATAAAAAGAACAAAGTTAAATTAGTGGAAAATAAAGACTTCTGAAAAAGTATGTTTTAGCGAAGATAATGCACATTTCACTACTACAGTAAATTTAATTTCTCCATTCACTCGACACAATGACCTGTATACACATTTCACCAAGCTTCTTAAACAGCTTTACTTTCTTTACAAGTAAACAGTGCTTATTTTGAAGCTGTTTTTTATTATCTTTTACTGCTTAATGTTCCCACCGGCTTTAAGCTAGAGGCTTGAAGTTTAGGTAGCTTTGGTGTTTATTTTTACAGGATTCAGATTGCTAGTCTCATGCCCAACCTTCCTTCTTTACCAGTTTTATTACTAACTTAGCGAGGTAAAGGAATGCGTTTGTCGGGGATCGAACCCCGGACCACATGTTTACACGGGAGAACGCATTCTACTCCTGTGCTACTGAAACACTTGAGGCTGTTATATACAAACTTAATTATTTTATATGTTCAGAAAGTATCGTTATAAGCTAAGTTTCATTATTATCCTTGAGATTTGATTAGTTGTCAACGTTCAGTACTAAAAGTGTATTACTGATGGATAACATATACACTGTGTATCGAAGATTCATCTAACTTCGATTTCAAGAATACGTAATAATTTAATTTAATTTCAATGTTCAATCTAAACAAGTTGTTATATTTACAAGGGTAGGAAATACTAAAGGCAAATGGATATTTTGAGAGTATAATCAGAAATATAAGAATGTAGGAGGAAAAGTTTATCTAGTGAGGAAATTATTGACATATTTCCCACCCTTATGCAATTATTTTATTTGAGGAAAACCCATTTATTTTTGTTCTATTAATTTGATTTGCACACCAATACTTAGTTGTAATAGGATATATGAATATGAAAGCAGTTGATTGCTAAAAAAATATATAATGAAGAGATCGAATACAAACTAAATTGCCCTATGCAATCAGTCCCTTGACAACATAAGCTTCAGTTGCATAAATCCGCCACATCATTCATCACAAGTTGTAAAAACAAAAAACTTGAGTGACTGCATAAAAATGGAATTACGCCTGCAGTTAAGATTATTTAAGTTTTAGTTACGTTGACCATTCATATTTGCAGTGACTGTTAATACACTTTTTGTTGCGTTAATGAATTTCCTCCCTGGTTAATAAGCGAGCCGGTTGTTCTAACCACCATTAGCAACAACAACAACAACACGATACGATACCACCGAAAGTGAGACTCAAGAGGACGACAAGAGAAGACAGACCGTTCACGTAGGGAGTTTTCACTATCTTTTATCAACGGAGAAAATGATTGACAGCGCTTGTGTATATATATATGCTTTAAATGGCCTTGAGAGGTACTAATTGCATTGATAAATCCAAACAGTCAACAGCCAATAAGATTTCAAGGCCACAAGTGGGGTGAGATAAATACAATCAGACATGTAAAAGTACATGTAGAAAATTAGGTCTATGTATATCAATATTGAAGCGATGTTATAAGGGAAAATGAAGTTAGGATGATACCTGTTAAATTAATCATGTACACATGAAGAAGATACTTACCGGTTTGATACGTAGAACTCAATATCTAGCCGTTAAGAGGTAGGATAACTGTTATTTAGGAATCGAAAAGTACGTTGAACTTTATTCACAGTAATGAACTTTAAGCTCAACTATAGTTTAACTGGAGATGTGAAAATTAAACTTGACCACATAATATAATAATTAATTGAAAATTCACATTAATTTTATTAAGTATAAATTTAGGATATCATTATAATACTGCAACATTTCGTACATATTTGCTTTTCTTTATTAAAGGCGTTGTTATGCGGTCTTAGTGTCATGTTACCAGAGAATCCACACAGTTGGATTGCTGAGAAGCTCAACTTCTTTATGAGATAGGCTACATCAATTTAAACTGGTAATTATCTTCATTATTTAATTTTTGTCAACATTTTATAACATTTATAGTAATGTTTACCATGATATTAGATAGTTGGAAGCAATCGGTAGGAAACCTTACCTGACCTATGTTTCGTGCTAGTTGGCACTCGTCAACAAGGTGTATCTGAAACCTTGAAGGAACTCATATCCCTTTAGAGATTCTAACCCGCATCACTCAGTACTGAAATCAGAGACGTTACCACTGAGCTGACTGATAGAATTCAGTCTTCACCAAAGAAAGGACTAGATACATCACACTTGTTACTAGTGTCCAATCAAATGTTTACAGTGCCTTGGTATTTGAAACGATACATTCTGAGTTTTAGTTTCTGTGGGAACATTGATGATGATTCGTCTGATGAGTCTGAGAAAAAGACAAATGTTGAGTCGTAAATTCCACCACTAACCATTATCAGTCAGATAATATCATGTTAACTACAATATTAAGAGTCAACATATCAACAGTCAGTGAACAATTCAGCCCGATTAAAATCAGTTAATAGGAAATTCAAAATAACAATTTTAATGAATATAGTAACTAACTTTGATATAAAGACATAATTAAGTGCACATATCTATTGAACATTACACTATCGTAAAATACTTTCTTACTAAATTATCAGGATTTATATTTTAAAAGAAATTGTTAGTTGGGATCATTTTCCCTCTATTAACTCTACTATTTGTGAAAGTCAGCTGACACTGAGATGAGGTTAAATAGTATTAAAAAACTTGACCAACAGTTAAGAGGTTTAAACGAACCCAAAATTAATTCATTTGAGACAAAAATATACAGATGGTAACATTAATTCTATATGTTTAGTGTAAATTAATGTTTACTGATTTAACTTTCAGTGAAATGGAATAGCATTTTTAAAAAATTTCAATATTTGATGCTTTGCATGAGTAGTATTTCTAACTGTAAGCATTTTAAACATATGCAGCATCCCTTTAAAAATGATTATAATAATAATCTAAAGGCAAGCTTCTGCACAAATGAACATTCTTTGAAATCACTGGGTGATTATTATAATATTTCATGATTAATAATCTTCATGCATGTGTTTCCACTATCACTCGAATCCAGCACCCATTGTTTTGATCTCCAAAGCGATATACACTATGCCACTAGATCACTAGAGTCCCCTGTTGTGGAATATGTATGAATTTCAATTATTTATGATACATTATTGGTATGTCTAACCACACTGGGGAGCAAGCACATTCAGCCGGAGAATCTCAAATATCACGAAACACAAGTTCTGGATTCCACTACTATCCACAACCAAAGAAGTGACTCTGAGGTCTTAATCCTGATAATATCGAGCATCAGAGGAAATGACTGACCTAAAAGTGATTGAAATCACATGGTTAATTAAAAATTTATCGAATTTTTGGTTATTTTAAGGATCTTGATTAGTTAAAACGTCACTGAAAACTAAGGGGTGCTGTATACCTTTTCCCTTTTTGTCTGGGACTCTTCAGTGGAGTGGGTTTACGACTCTACCAGGGATTACACTCAAGATTTTCAGATTACAACACCTAACCATTGACCATTCAATAGTTATCAGCCACAGGATTTGATCATAAGATGACACTGCTTAAAAAACCATTGGAAAACCTGGGAGTAATGGATAGCTGTTTAGTCCTAGTTTGGGGCTCTTCATCAGTACGCACCCACACCTTTGGGTTCAAACCCAGGGCGTTCTGTTACAAGGATGGCTCATATAAAATTAAGCCACTCGGACCTGATCCAATGGTTCATGAATTACAACTTCTGCCAAATCACGACATAGTGCAACCGCTAGCCAATGTCTTCGGCGAGTATTTATCCTCACACCCGATCAGCTTCTTTTCAAAAATCGGGTCTGAAGTTTATGCTGCTTAAATATGCTTCTCTTGTGAACACCTACGTGGGTGTGTATTGCTGAAGAGACCAATGGTCTTTAGTTTTCAGTGATTCTGCAACTAATGTCAGTTTGTGACAAATTGTACACAGATATGAAATTATTAAGTAACCAAAACAGTTGAAATGCGATATTTCAAATGAACCTTTGTTTATTTATTGTTTGTACTGAAGGGACACATTTATTGATCCAGATATGAAACCTTCTCATCCATATGTTGATCATGAATTAATGAACTCACTGTTTGGAACTGAAAAATTAGAATTCGTAAGTGTTATGTTTGTATTTTAATTTTTAAAATAACTTTTCTGTATATTATTAGATATTTACTGTAGTCTGAACTCACCCGATAAATTTCAAACATTTTAGTCACAAACATATTAATATGAAAGTTAGCGTAGTACAAAGAAAACCTATGTAGGTATATTTTGATTGGCTATTGGTTAGGTGGCCTCCTATCGGTCTAAAACATATATCATAGTGGGACGTATATCCTTAATAACCGAGACTAATAGGATCTATCACTAACACTGTCCCAATGTTAAAAGTGTTAACTGGATTGCGGTTAAATTTCATTTTGTGCTATGAACATTTAACTATCTTAGCCTAGTATACCCTAAGTAGCTCAATGATTGCAGGTTTACCATAATCGTTAGCTATCAACTGAATAACTGTGAACTTCAGACTGAGAATAAACTTTTAATGGCACCGATTGACAGAAATTCACCTGGACACGTTAAAATATGCAAAACGTCAAAAAATATCTGTAAATTTCAATCATAAAACCACATAGCCAGTCGACGCAGGAACCCATCATGACCTCAAGTCTGGATATACTGTCTTTCTAGCACAAAAGACCAGAACTGAAACTAATATCTGAGCTAAAATGTCACACAAATGTTACAAACTAAAACAAAATGGAATATGAGAAAATAAATGTTCAAGTAGTTCAGTTTTAAAATTAAACTAATAAGGAAAGTGTCCTGTATTGACAGTGCGTCGGTGGCACAGCGGTTAGGACGCTCACCGACCATGCACATGGTCTGGGTTCGACCTCCGGCCGACGAACTCCTTTACCTCATTAAGCCAGAAATAATGCTGGTAAAGAGGAAAGGTTGGGCATGAGGCTAACAACCCCATCCTATAAAAATAAACACTGCCACAGAAACTTCAAGCCGCTAGCCTGAAGCCCTATGTTCCACTGGGAACGTGGAGGAAAAAAGAGTGTATTGACAGAGGACTTTTGAATGCATATTTTTATCACGACGTCTGTAACAAAAGTACATATTGTGATATTTCTGATAAATAGGTTTCAAAAAACAGTTCGAATTACCATCATTATGACTCATCTTTATGTTTCTCTTTGTGATAGATAACACTGCATTTCTCTTACCTAGATAATTCAAGCCTCTGTTTATGCGTAATCACACGTTTCATATAAACTGGTAAACTCCATGGCGGGTTGAAATGTAGTGACATAGTCTTTGAAACACGGTGATAGATTGCGGTATAAAAATAGTTTCACCTTCTTTACGACAATCAGTTCTGCTTTATGTTATGATCTACGGAGTACTGCTTAAAAACTTTGTGATGAGAATGTGGGAATCTACCCTTAACTTATCTTAGATACTTAGCGACTTACTGGAGTTTATACACATAGTTTAATTACTTACACGGGATAGTTATTATCCGACAATATTTTAACGAAATTTTCCATAGTATTCTCCGTATACATGCTTTAAATCCGTCTATAGAAATATATAATGAGTACTCTTTTATATTGAAATGAACAAAAATTAGGCTAAATTAGTCCATAGAGGTATTCTGTACACATTTTATCTTACTCATTCATCATATCAGTAGAAATAAAACAAACATTTTTCCATCTTATATATCTTAAGGATGTGAATTGTGTTATTATTTTCGAAGACAATGTAGTGGAAGTTGATGAATATACAACTCTGTTATACATCACTTAATCATTTATAAGGCTAAGATATATTTATATATGTAACTTTAGAATATGTAATTAACATGAAGTGTAAATGGCATTCTATGTAACCTTGAAGGATAAACCACATTAGGGAGTATTTTAATTAACAGTTATACGCTTTAACTTTCGTTAATACTTTTACCAGAGTGAAGTAATAAAATGTTTGTATTTCTTTTGATTAGATTTCACCTGAAGAACTGCAATACCAAGTAAGAATGTTAGACTTTACTTGTTATTATTATGTCTATATATAATCATTCCCTTGGGTTACAAGTGGAATATAAGGCTTCAGTGTCACATCTCCGTTTCATCCTGTTCTCTATAATTGTTTTCAACTGGCCTCATGATTGCCCATAGGCTCTCATCTCCTCCTGGCCAAGTTAAACTTTAGGCACCAGTGGAGTGTGACCGCAGCAGCCGTCTTGAAATATTCAGTGAGCAAGTTAGTGAAACCTGGCAAATAATTTTGTCATCATGAATAAATTATACTTGATAAAGTGTTATGTTATTGAATAGGATATCTAAGAAGTTTCAGCTAAGATTTGGAAAAGATTATATTGAGGTTTAGTCTAAGGACAGCTTAGGGTTATATTGACCTAATAACGGAGATATTAGCGTTTTGGTTCGAGTCAGATCAGGGTTAGTTTGGGGATATTTTCACGTTGGGGTTAGGTTAAGCAAAGGATTAGGGTTATTGTTTGGGTTAGAAGACCTAGATAATTACATGCATAGAATGTATTTAAATTACTCTCTTGATTCTCCAATCCAATAACTAAGAGGTATTTTTGTCACGCGTCAGAGAAAGGTACCCTGAGTAAAAGTTACACGGCTGTTAATTCATTACTTTCATGAATAAATAAATATGCGCGAAAATCTCCTTTGTCATGTGTTTGGTGAGTTCAAAATCAGTTGTCCGTTGGTACTTACTGGTGCTTAAAGTTTAACTTTGCCCTCCTCCTCACACAATTTCCTTCATGTCAATCTCGGACGCTCAACTTATCATTTACCATTCGGGTTCCACTCGAATGATGGCCTGGAGCGCGATGTAATTCGACCGTCTCTTTTCAGCATGTGGCCAGTCCACTTCCACTTTCTTTGACATATATCTGTTGCGACAGGTTCTTGACTGATTCCTTTACAGTTTCTTGTTGCTGATTCCTTCTCACTCCCTATCTGATCTTCAATATGGATCCAGAGAAGACGGGTGTTGATGAAAGTCCAGACTATGCCTACATCTACACCTAGTCGATAATCATAGGGTAACTTACAGTCAGTTGTTCCATGAGTTAACCAAATTTATTTATTTGTTGACACTAAATCTTTTGCAATTTAATTCAAAATCTCTTGAGATTAAGATATCTAATCCAATAGTAAAAGTGTACAAAGATTTTTAAGGAAACAATGTCACTGAGTTCGTCAAAAAATAATCAGAATGAGGTTGAAACGTATTCCCTTACGTGCAAAAATAACTCTTAAAAACACTTATGACTACAATTTTACTCTCTTATCAACAGAATGTTTACTGAACTAACAATATTCTTTTCGATAACTTCGTCATCAAACAAACTAATATGGAAGTTTACACATATAGTAATGTGGAATTATTCATCAATGTAATCTGTTAACATTCTCTTTAATGGGTGTGGGTAGTCAGGCTGATAAACAGTATGGCTGTTGGTAAAGATCTCTAATTCACATGTGAAATTTTAGATGACATATCTCAACTACGCGATGTGGCTGCGCCTAGTCGAATTAGTGTTATGAGCAACATTAATGTTTAAACAACATCGAATTAACAATATCAGTATATTACAGTTTGATAGCATCAACATAACAATAAACTGAATATCAGAGGAATTAGGAAAGATAATAGTACAAATTAATGAATTTATAGTCTCTACTGAAGGCCGCCCAAGGCAGTAGTAGTGGTGGCTGGACTTGCCTCTTTTGCACACAAAGCACTGGTTGTTCCACGCGAATTGGGATAGGTTCTGCTGTTTGGAGCATGCGGTATCTCGATGTTTTTGGGAATTTATTTGGTATCCGGTAGATGATAGACAAGGATTCTTCAATGCTGGCTTTGTGGCCGGTTTCGACCAGGTGTTCTAACATGGAGCTTTTAACACTTCTCACTACACTCTTATTTAACCACACATGTAGATATTCCTGAGCACAAAAATATCAAGTTCCTAGAGCAATAGCCAATATAACTCGCCCCACAAGCTCAGCTGAATTAGTAGATACAATTAGAAGTGGCTAGTCTAGGTACTTCATCTTTCAATTTAGGAATCACCATCGGTCCTGTAGAAAATAAGACTTGTAGTTTGCCAGCATTACAAGTTCTTTGAACTGGTTTTCTTAACTTCTTTGTAATTATTTCGCTAGGTATATCGCCCTTGAATTGCAGTCGTATATAAAGAGGCTTCTTGTTTACGGATAGTGAATAGGCCTTTTCCGCTTTCTTTGTCATGTGTTTCTTGATTAATTTGTCTGGATAGCTATTTTCGATCAAGATATCATAAGCACTTCTTATTTCATCTTCAGTTACCTCGTCTGAGCATATAGCTCTAACCTGTGGCAGAAGATCTTTACTAAATTTCTTTTGTACTTGAGAGGAACGAAGCTGGGCTAATGTGTATATTATGCCGTCCATGCACTTTCATTATGCAAATTTCTCTTTATGCTACCATCTAGGTTTCTTGTAAGAAGGACATCCAGGAAGGTAATTTTACCAAGGGATTCCTCTTTGCACGTGAATTTCATAACACAATGTACTTCATTGAATTCGGTTATTATTGTGTTCCTATCCAGACCATTATCACAAAGAATAGGCGTGTCATCCATATACCGGCAATAAAATGAGAATTTTCTAATAAGTTTGTTTAGAGGTCTATTTTTTAGTTTGCTTATAGAGAAATCAGCCAAAATGGGAACCAATGCGGAGCCCATCGCCACCCCATTTACTTGTCTGTAAAGTGTGCCATCAAATTTGAAAATTACTTCTTTTAGGATTCCCATTGGGATGCCAACATTTATCGACTGGTTGTACACTTGATTGCATATTTAGTTGACTGAAAGATTTTAATTGGCATTTTTAATCAGTTATTCTCTTCTTTCAGTACAAATTTCGTCATGAATCAACATAAGTTAGTGATCACTGAAAACCAAGAAACACTGGATTGCTATTTGGCTCTGTTTGGGAACTTTTCAGCAGTGCAAACCTATGACTGCATTAGAGATGAAACCTGGCAACTTTAGATTACGAGACCAAGCCCGCTGACCATTCAGCTACTTATTCTTGAGTTTAATGATTCATCAAAAATTCAACTGCTGTCGATTCGTGATACAACGCTACCCTCACCAATGCCTTCAATGAGCATCCACTTCACCTTTTATATATGTTAGCTCATTGATGGCTACTGGATGTCCTCATGCTGTACTGAGAAGTCGTGATGAGAAGGGTTCATTATGTCAAGGTTAACTGGTTGCACATCGAAGGCACTGGTGAGGGTAACGTTATATCATGAATCGACAGAAGTTAGGTTTCATGGGTCACTGAATCCGCCACAAGTAACTGATTGGTCAATGAGCTTAGTCTCGTTACCTGGAGTTGCCAGGTTTGATCCTTGATGGGACCATAGGTGTTCATTGTTGAAGAGTTTCAAAATATGACGAAATAGCTTTCCAGCGCTACTTGGTTTTCAATGACCTCTCTAAGTGGTGATAGTACATAAGTAAACAAATGAAACACCCCAAAGCTACATGAACTGCATTCATTTCTGAGCGTTCTTTTATTCAATTCTTTGTTCAAATAGATGGTAAAGGTTTTGTTTTTCTGCTCTTATTTTATCATTTATTTCTAATTAACATGAAGCTAACACATTTGTATGAACAATTAAGTGAAGTTTTGTTTCAAAATGTTCTTCTCTTTTTTAACCAAGCCAACACCAGAAATGATAGGAAAAGCTTATGCTGCTCATAAACAATCAATATTAAAGAAATGTCTCAGGTGAGTTTACTCCCTTTATTTATTTATTGCTTTACATCCCAATGGAAAATAGGTCTTCAAGCTAGAGGCTTGAAGTCTCAGTAGAGGTGGTGTTTATTTTTACGGAATGCGGTTACCAGCCTCATGTCCAACCTTCCCTCTTTAGCACTTTTATTACTGGCTTCGTGAGGTAAAGGAATGCGTCTGTCGGGGATCAAACCCTAAGCCACATGCGTGGTTGGCGAGCGTTCTATCGCTGTGCCACCAACGCACGTTATTCCTTTGATATTCTTTGTATATTGTTTGGACAATCAAATTTATTGAAGAATATTTCTCAGATTTGTAGTGAATTATAGTAAATGTACATCGTAAAATGAACAGAAACCTTTAGGCCACCGAAGGCTTTTCTAGCAAGTAATATATTCCTATAGACAGTGAAGAGTTCATGATTTTTATCCCAGAATCAAAGTCAGTCTATTATATAACTGTGAACAGTATATCCACAATACTAAATAGGACTATAAGACATTTTGTTATTTCAAATATTTTCAAGTGTTGGCTTGCTTAGATTTCATTGGTTTCTTAAAATGATATCAATTACGGAACTACTACAAGTCACAGCTGATCCATGTATACCACTTCTCCCAGCTCATATCATCAGCGAGAATTCGTCTTCACACTCTGTCAGATAGATCTCAGTGGTCAGTAGGATATCATACACATACCATCCTGTAGTCAGTCAGTAAGGAGAGAATAAGTGACGCCATGAAATCCCTATTTTACAATGAGAAACGGTAGTAAACAAAAAGCAGCTTCATAATTTAGTAAACTTGCCAGCTGTTGTTTCATTCGTCTCCTTCATCTCCTATACACCTTCATATTAGTCCTCATTATTTTTCAAGCGCCTGGAAATTGTTTTTTATTATTAAACGAGCTCGAACAACTTATATGTACAAAATAAACTACATCGCAGAAAGAAGCTGGAAGATAAGGAGGCTAAAAATTATATTTCGTGCTTGGCAAGATTATACACACTTTATGAAAAATAAACAAAATAGTGAGTGTTTTTTTGTTGCTAATTATGTAAACTTTCATAAAATAAACAATAACATGTATGATTTGAAAGGCTTTAAGAAAGAACTACTGGAAGTGTGACAGTGAGAATACAAAATAAAATTTCATTTTGGTTTCTTTTTTTTTTCGCATAACACAAAGCCGTGGAGTATTAATTCATTGATTAAACTTCTAAAGGCTATTTGTCGCTGATAATGATTAATGAATTGAAGTCAGCACTATTTAACTCTAGTGGATTTTGGACTGAAGGCTTTAGGAGTTGAATTATTTTCTTGTTCACATATAAATCAACTGAAATAATATTTTCATAATCTTTCACTCCGTATATGTTATATATCTGCACTGCTAATTGTTATAATTGTTGATTAAACGTTGGCATTCTGCTGTCGCCATTTGTAAAGTCATTTTTGGGTGGATATTCTACAAGTGACAGAAGTTTAGTTCTAATGTTAGCATCTTCTCGGCTATTCAAACCACAAATAAAAATCAAACTCTTGAACTGATCTGATGTCATCTCGTGTGGTTTGAATCTGTCACATTCCTTGTTCGCTTTGCCAGCATAAGTGACATAATCATCTGAAGGTATTTTTGTTAACTCAATACATTGATACCGAATATTAAAAATGGATGACTGTTCACCGAAAATTTGGGATTAAACGGTGACTATATAAGGCTGAAAGATTATCCAAGATGAATGCAAGATGGATTTAAGATTATCCAAATGATGAATAGATATTGTAAGTGGAATAAAATTAACACAGTCAAAAATATTATGTAGTTGAGCTGAAAGAATAAAACCCCGTTGCCACTTTGTTACATCTGCGCTGCTAACTGTCTTAACGGTAATGAACTCGACTGGTACGCTTATACGCCTAATCGTCCGTTGTACCTTACGCCTTACTGAGTCATGCAAAGGGGATATACTATTTTATGCGGATTCCTATCAGTATTTTTAACAAACGTTTCTTTCTAAAATATGGCTTTTATTCACTTTTCTCAGATGTTTCATTGTTAAGAATAAAACCTTTTTCACTTTATGACTCTCGTATCTATGAATTTTCCTAATTGGGTTATTTTAAAGTGACATAAATGAAACACATGAGTGATATTGTCAAAGTCTGTGGGTTTTCTAAATTACAAACTCATTTAGCGTTGCTTTGATTGAACACTAGTTGCTTGCTAACAAGTGTTCAATCAAAGCATCCAATACTGTTCTACCGATGGTGAATCGTGAACCCGAATATCTTAATGGTAACATCTCTAGCTTCAGCACTGGATGACATGAGTTTGCATATGATATAGAGACCTAATTTTCTATATGTACTTTTACATGTCTAGTTGCATTTCTCTCACCTCACTTATGACTATGAACTGCTATTGGCTGTTAGCTGTTTGAATTTATCAATAAAATTAGAGCCTCTCAAGGTCATCTGAAGCACGTATGAAAACAAGTGCAGTCAATCATTTTCAATATTGATACGAGATATTCAAAAAATCTCCACGTCAACGGTGTGTCTTTTCTTCTTCTTGCCTGCGAATCGACCACGGAAGAAATTCGTTGGAGCAAATACAACTGTATTAACTGTCATATCAGAATCCTAGAGGGGACAGGAGTTCCTTCAAAGTTGTAGATCTGCTCTGTCTACGAGTGCCAACAAGCACGAAACTTAAGTCGGAGGCTTCCTTCCGCATGCCTCCAAGCACCTAATCATTTAGTGTTGCTTAATATGTTTTTGAATAAGATGGATAATTTCCTGTCAGTGTTCTGTCTTATTCTAATCAACTTTAGAAGTTCAATGAAAATATAAATATTCACACATTATTCTGCAGCCGATATCAGTTCACTAATTTCTAATCCTCTCCAGAATAATTTGACTTTTAGAAATTGATGCTTATCATGTTTTTTGCCGGTTAACACTGGAAAATTCCAATTTTTTATAAATTTTAGTGGCACAATCTTTAATAGCTCATATTAAAGAATCCACTATGGCCATGTTATACTTTAAGGCATGGCGTAAAACTGTAGCTGAGGCACGAAAAACAAGGGATTACTTTTCGGTAAGTTGGATACTTATTTCATTTCACTTTACTTAGTTACATAATTATCTCTTTTCTATTTCATTTTGAGAAAAAAAAGCATCCAAAATAGGCTGTTTTACTCTCTGATTCTTTTTTACACGTAAAATGCATAATTGGGTCTAGTCTATTCAACCTAACTAAGTATGTCAATCTGTCTAGTTTTACAAAAAGCATAAATGTGGTATTGGTATGTTTTTTTATAAATTACAAGCTTTCTGATTGGATGGCGGAGTGGATTATCTTCTAGTCCATTTATGAATGTGTTTGCTAAAATAGGATCCAGCTGGCAACCCACTGTGACCTCACAAACCTGTAGGCTTCCGCTTTAAAATTGAAATTAATTTCCATGGTACGCTTAGATAATAATTCTTGAAGAAGATTAAACGGAATTCCAATATATGTTTAGAGTAATCCTCCACCTATTCACATATATAGTTGATAGTTTCCACCAATGGAGTGTTCTTGGATGGGGTAAAGTGATAGTCATCCACTTACGATAGATCGGTTAAAACTATGTGGTTTTATTACACATGAATTATATTTAAAAATGAAAGAAGAGAAGAAATTCACTGATTAACCGCATTACTCATTCACGTACGACAGTCCTTCCCCAACAATTTAATACTTTCCTGACAGCTGTTGAAAATAATAATTCACTTTGTTAACTGAATTCTCCTTGTTTATGGATCTTCTTTTGTAATAGAAAATGCTTACTAACAGTCAAGATCTTGGAGAGAAATCAGATTCTGAATCTGAAGATCAATTTCTCAGTTTAGGTGGTAAACTGAGTGATTCAGAAAATTATCGTGATCGACTAGCTGAAATGCCTCACACAGTACAGTATAAGGTAAGTTGTCTTTTTCGACGTTTCCTTTGTTTGAGCACAAAAAGGTTATATATATATATATATAAAGTGAATGTTAATAGCATTTGTTAACTAGTGGAATAGGGTGTTTGTGATCGATCTGTCTGTGGATACGATAAGAACTTATTTTAAAAAATGTATTCCTCTACATTCTGTGTGGAACATAAGGCTTCAAGCTAGGGCTCTGAAGTTTCGGTAGCAATGGATTTATTTCTATGGAGTGGAGTTGCTAGTCTCACGCCCAACCTTCACTCTTTACTGGTTTCGCTTACTTCTGGCTAAGCGAGGCTTAAGAACGCATCAACCGGAGATCGAACCCTGGGCCGCATGCATTGTTGGCGAGCGTCCTATAGCTAGACCCCCTACGGTAAGGATGCGTACTATCAAATGAAGCGAAAGTCATTTAAGATGTTCAGATTATATTACAGCTACTAAGAATGATAGCAAATAAGAGTGCACGGTTACTTGAGGGTAAAGTTTGGTACACTGGGTACAAATTAAGTAATGAAATCACTAGGTTAATACGTTGTGTATTTCGATGATTCTTCTCCACTGTAAATTTCCTAATGTAGTTGTTCATTCTTCTTTCTAATAAGTGTGACAAGTTTTTATAATAGTAAATAGACAGCCACATAAAAAGAACACGATGTGTCAGCTAACACATGAGTATTTTGCGTTACCCGGGTAAAAATTTCTTATTTCCGGAAAATATACAGATGAGATAAACAAAGGGTTCTTTCAAGTAAGGAATAAACAAAATGTTCTGATAGGAAGGAATGTTATCTTTGACTGTTGACATAAAAATATACAAAATAATAATTCCTTTCCTTATAAGTTTGACTATTAAAACTCGCATGAAAAACGAAAATTATCAGCGAAATGCAGGTTACATTGAGATTTCTGAATATTCCTTCAACCAGTAGTAGGGATAATTTCTGTAAGAAACTTGGTAAAGGAATGATTATTGGGAATTCAGTATCCTTATATAACGAGATTATGTACACCTCATCTTCAAAACACCGTTTTCCCAAACTTTCCTTGTTGTGCTACTTTTGCCCTTCGTATTGTCTTTCTTTGTCTTCTTTTTGACGTCTCCATGTATCTCCGCATGGCTGAATCATTTGCTTTCCTTGGAATCAAATCTATCTCTCTGCTATTTGAGGTTTTTATGTCGATGAACATCTCCATACATACTACTCATAAGATTTCTCAGTAGAACACGTGACACTTCTACAGCCATTTTCTAGGTTTAGAGTAAACGTATTTTCCAATGACTTAAATACTCCGTAAGTGCAAAATACTGAAATTAAGAAGATTTTAATTTATTCCTTTATATTTCGTTTGGATAGTTTCAACCTAAACTGCATATTTCGTCGAATATCTAAAAAAGATGTGTTCTCTTCTTAACATCTTTCCGTACCTAAGTTGTTCAGTTACTTCCATCAAGTTATTCACGCTCTAATGACTGAGGTTTTTTCGTTATATTTGAATTCTGTTTTTGTTCTCTTTTTCCTTTCATACCGTAACGACATTTGGCAATTTGAACTGACACAGTTCTAAGTAAGGGTGCATGTTGACCTGTTAGTTAAACAGCGGCTTATTTCCTCCGTTATACGAATAATCTTGCTTGGAATGTTGAGTTACCAAAATCACTTAATTTGCTAAACCAGAATACTGTGAACACAGTTTATTTAAACGTTAAACTAATATAAGACTCCATCATCTAAAATATATTATAGCTTTATAGTAAACTCGAAATTAAAAAATTTATTCATGAGTTGATTACATTAAATAAGCGAACAAAATCACTTCAGTATGCTTTATGTTACTAAATGACGCGACGGCGAAAGAAGACAAAACAAGCATCATTTACAAGATAAAATAAATCATTTGATTTTTAGGTGTCTTAGTCAAGCAAACAAACACAGAAGAATTAGAAAATCAAGTCTATAGAAAATTAACCGACACAAATCAATTACTCACTTACACCACAACAACTCCATGGCAGACAAAAAGAGGTGGATGCAAACATTACCCAAAAGAGCCAGCACTCATTGCAGCACTCATTCCTGCCTTAAAATTAATGGAAGAAAAATATCTTATCATCGTCTTCTAGAAAAATTGATATCCATGAAATTTCGTCTCAACTCAGCCAACCATATCAATAGTATTCAATGAAAGCACTAGCATATCTGAAGAACACCTTCGAAACTGCTGCGAGACTGTACATACTTTTCAGAATCCGTGTCGCCCAAAAACCAACAAAATCATTCTAATTGGCTCCATGTCAATCAAAAGACACAACATCGAATGAAGACAAATCCAATATTATTATTATTATAATTATTATTATATATTTTAATTCCGAGAGGAACATAGGGCTTCAGCTGCGCGTCTCCATTGCCTTCTGTTTTCTGCCAACTTTTTCACTCCGCTCCAGGTCTGCCCACATGCTTTCATCTCCTCCTCACATGACCTCCTCCAAGTCACCCTCGCACTGACTGCCTTTCGGATTCCACTTGAGGGCTTGTCTAATGATGTCACTTGATGGATTTCTCAGTGTATGGCCAATCCATCTCCATTTCTTCCTGCCTATTTGTTTCGCAATCGGTCCCTGGTTGGTTCGCTCCCGGAGATCCCTCCCTATCGCTGATCTTTTCTGGCCGGCTATCTGATCTTGAGTATTGAGCGAAGACAACTGTTAATGAAGGTCTGAAGTTTGTTTGAGATGCTCTTTATTACGCGCCAAGTCTCTGATCCGTAAAGTAGCACTGACTTCACATTGGAATTGAAAATCCGGATCTTATTTTTGATGCTGAGTGATGTTGACCTCCACACAGACTTAAGGGTAATGAAAGCCTGTCTTGCTTTTCCGACTCTGGCTTTGATATCCTATATCCAGTATTACCTACAAGGTAAACTGCAACGACTGTTAAAAATATGGTGCATAACAATGCAGACACACAACCACGGGTACAAGTTCGACTAGGAAAATATACAAATACTATACCAAGAACATGCCAAAAATGCCAAGAAATTTCTTGAAGCCTGGTACTTAGACGAATATCCAATAAGCAGGGACAAATTAACATCGATAAGATTTATGAATTACTAAAAGGAGAGTCACATGAACTTAAGGTCAAATTTCACCTCAACAAAATATTCAATACCAATATAAATGGACTACAGAGTGAAAAAATATCTGGAAACAACGAGTCCCATTCTAGGTTACCAGGAGAAACTGCTGACAGACTCATAAGAAGTTCTAAAAGTTCACTTCAGACTGAAGTATGAGCTGGGGAGGTTGTCTAGTAAGATACTGGAAGCTTTAAAACTAACTATACCTTCCCTGTTAGAAAACCAGCTACACTAATACCATATTAAATCAAATCACATAACCAAATTCCCACTTTTAAGCACAAAATTTAGAAAAAATCAACTCTAGCATATGGTTTGCTAAAAAGACGTATCCAGATGAAAGGAATTCTTGCAAATCTGAAGAAAAGTTTTCGACTAATAGTAATAATAATGAGTTATGCTGACAACTATGAATAAAATTATGGAAAACGTAACTGGTGCGAAAGCCTGAAATTATTTCAAGTGTAGTTCGACAACTCTTCAAAGCTAATATAGTTGGTGAGCAGCTTCATTGCATAGTAACATTAGCAAAAAAATAGCTCTTCGTCTATCTGCTAGTCTGTTCCCTTCACAAAGTAGATATCGATTTTAAAGGGTTAAAATGGCGTGTTTAACCCACAAACTGATGGTTTGAATTGATATTTTGCATTTTGATAAAAATGCAGGTGTTTTATGCCTTTTTATTGATGATGCCTCTGCGACTTTTAATACAACACAACAAAACAGTAATCCAGAATACTTTTTGTGTTTTTTTCTCTTCTGTAATTTTTAATTCTTACGATTAGATTTTCGAATATTTGACGCCCATAGACTTAGTCCGAGCTGCTTGTGTTTCTCGTTATTGGATGTCTATGGTGAATGATATGGATAGACGAAATCGACTTGATCTATCCTGTTTCCGTGAAAGGTTAGTTTAGTAAAAGTAATATGAAACGGGTATACAGCCCAACATGCTTATATATGCATATATAAGATTGTTCGAAAAGTTTTTTTAAACACTAACTGTTTATCTGAAATGTAATTTAAAGCGTTAAAGTGGATACAGTATATAATATCGAGTAGTGATTTTTAGATTTACATCAGTAATGTGTGGTAATTTGATGCTATGCAAAAAGAGCTTTAGTGTACACATTTTGCACTCAGTTCCATCTATTACTCTGTATTTTGTCTGCTAAATTTATTTTGTATTCTTGAAACGTGGTCATCAGCTTTTTGACCGATTTTTAGCTCTAGTATGATGTTGAATTGTAAATTGCAAACGTTAAAATGATGTATACTGTCCCTGTTATATACGAGTTCCAGAATCTGTAGTTATCTTGCCACTCTGACCATGAATGAACCAACATAAGTTAGAGAGATGATTGATGCTGGGTCATGACAAAATCTAACAGCTGCAATTCATCGAAATCCTCACAAACTCCATAATTCAACTATTAAAGTGAATGGAGTAAAGTAGAATAAGCGTGTATAAATTTGTCTTTCAGCATGTCGTAGTACTTCTCTGTTGTATTTTGATGTTTTATTTTATTTATTAACTAGACTAACAGATGAAATTTTGATTAAACTAACACGAAAACGCCGAGCGTATTTACGACATATAAATTTACGTGGTACACATTTACCATCTATGAATTCATTCCGTGGTTTAGTTAGCTGTGCTAATTTACAAGATATCAATTTAACTAAATGCACTGGGATTACAGTAAGTAAGTTTATTCTAACCGTGAATTTTTTCCCTTATTATGTTGAATTTATTTAAATTAATAATCATCATTGAGACATAAAAACAATGAATTCAGAGAAGAAAATTCTCTTTTTGACGATTTCGTTTTCAAGTATTGGTTTTGGACGGTTTCATCATGATCTGGGACCTGTTAGAGAGTCATTGGAAAACCCAGGAGTATTGGACAGCTGTTTCATCCTAGTTTGGGACTCTTCACAGCACAGACCCACCCGGATATGATCGTATATACAAATGAATAACAATAGACAATAATGGAGATATTGTTGAAAATGAGCTCAAATAACTAAAAGAAACCTTCATAGAGAGCCAATATCCGCCTCGCTTCGTAGAGGCCAATAGCAAATTATGTGGAAGAAATACAGAGATCGACAAGGTAGCAACTAAACTTAGAATTAAGGCGGTGATACTGAGTGTGAGATGCTTAAAAATCGTCTGATGGGATCATTGAGAAAAGTGTTCTTTGCTGCCACCCTACGAATAACTTACTTTAGCCATCCACCAATGCACCTTAATGTCAAGGAAATGTCACCTCGATTGTCTAATTCCATGTGTATTTATATGTTCACCTGCTCTTGTGGAGATAAGTGCGTATAACGTTCGTCGAGAAACATATCCTGTCACGTTCGAGAGCAACTCTCAGTTTGTCTGAGCACAGGAGAACGTAGGGGTATAATTTCATCGATACTGCAACATATTGTAGATACTGACCACGCGGTGTCTGACATATCGTTTAATGTAGTTTGCAAAGTCCAAATAAGTTTGCCGAAATGGACATGAGTGCATTTGCTTTGTATATCAGAGGCTTTGACAATACATAAAATAAAGCCAGAATTTGTGTACAAAAGCAATTTGTACTATCTCTTCCATTACCATGGTCTTGACTTGACTATGTAATTCACATTACAACTTTTTTTATCTTTCTTTATTCCGTGTTCCATTTTTGTTTCGCTTCATTTTACTTTATGTTATCATAATCTAACATTTTATCTAGCCTACTACTTTGACAACATTTCACTCATTCTATGTATACATCATATTATATTCACATTTCCGAATGTACTTTATTTTCTGATCATCTATTTCACACTTGTCTATTGAACTTTGGCTTGACCTCTATCTTTTTGGTTATCCATTCATATATCTAATCAATGATAACTCATAATCCTATACACCAATATAATGGCACTTTGGTATTTTCACTCACTGTCCAACTTTAACACACACACACACACACAGAAAACTGATTGTTATTGTCTATTGCAATTCATGTATATATACGATTGTACAGCTGTGAAAATGATATCGTCGAAAGGAGAATATTCTTCGCTGAATTCTTTGAAATTTATTTGAAAAAATGTCCACGTTTGCTTGTGTATTGTTATTACAATATGGCGATGTTCACTGACAACCTAAATTTAGACGGGAAATAACACCTTGTGTGTAAGAATTTACAAAATTTTTGGGAGCACTGCTACAAATTCAATTTATTCAAAGCAACCTTAAACAACGCCCTCTATAATGACAGTTTCAGTATAGATTACAAGACACTTATTGTATCATCTCTGTTCCAGCTGATATTGGATGTAGATCTTCCTTTTGGAGACTGTTCTACTGGAGTACATACAAGCACAACAGTCGCAGGGTAGAAGTTTTGTGATTCCTAAGAATAATGTGTGAATAGTCTGGCACTATGCATTGAACGATCTTAATTCTATCATAATATCAGTAATCCATTCGATATTCTTTACGTCGAAACACATTGTTTGATCAAATATGGCGTGGTGTGCAAAAATAGTGGTAGTAGCATTTTTAGAAACAATGCTTTTCGCGTGTAAATTAGCGGTCCGATGGTATAAAATGCTCTCCAGCCAGGCACTTGGTGCATGGCTCGATTACTTACCGACGCACTTCTAAACTTTGCTTAGTCAGTAATAAGACCGGTGAAGAGAGTAGAGTGGGCTTGGGGATAGCAATCCTATTCCGTAAAAACGCTGACTCCACTGAATCTTCAAAGCTGAGCATGAAGCTCTGTGTCCTTCTCTGAACACATAGGAGAGAAAAAATAATTTATAATTATTGTCTTCAGTCTTCTAGTATTTCCTCGTAATACCATAAATATTCAGAAATAAAATATGTCTGTAATGCGTCAAAGATTCAAATTTCAGAAATAAACCTAGAGAAAAATCATTCTGTCGTTCAACTGTTATTCTGTTCACCGAAAATATTGTGATGTTAACTTTCAGTACTTAAAATGACCATATATTCAGACATTTTTGTACAAAATTTTTGACTACTTATATAATTTAAGGTAGGAAGTATACTTGATTTCTCTTTCAGAATGACGCAGTCCGTTTGATCTCTAAAGAATGTAGTTTACTTCTTTACCTAAATCTATCATATACTGAAGTAACTGATGACGCTGTTCGTCATTTAGCAACGTAAGTGACTAAAAGTATTTTTTTGATGTAGGCATTTTTGAATGATAACAAAATGTAACTCTCATTCACATTTATAGGATGAATTCAAAATAACATTAATGCACATTAAAAGTGGGAGATTTAATGTTTGGTTAGTGTATAACTATTTGAAATGAATTTTGAATTATCAAATAATATTCTGGTAATTGATATTAGGTTGCTTAAGGTAATATGAAAGATTACATAAGCGGGTTTTTTCAAGTGATTTTATCCACTTTAGGGCTTTACTGGTGAAATATAATCGGTATCGGCGAGATATTTGTAAAGATGATTCATATAATGCTGTGAGGGATGTGAAAACGACATTTCACCAGAACTAAACTCTACTGTTCTACTTCTTACTGTTCGCCTTCATTAGATGAATTTATGTTGAGGTAAATTGTGCTGTACCATTATTTTGTGTAACCATTAAAAGCCTATTTTACTAAAGGACTAATACATTCAACATATATGACCATTTGGCAACTAATACCTTTCTATTCGAAGAAAAAACAAACATTTGAATTCATAAAGATTACATAAGTTAAAAATGTACTACATAAAACACTTCTATATTATTTAACTGAGTAAACTTTAATTCTATTTTATATTCACTAGAAATACAAAGATGTTACAGTATCTGAGTTTGGCGTATTGTACACGATTGACAGAAGTGTGTTCTACTTATTTTAATCAACTGGAATGTTTCAAGTCATTGAAATATTTGGATTTATCTGGTTGTATTCAGGTAAGTAAAAGTTTTTTTTGCGTTTTTCCGTATAAGTATCAGACTTATATTAAGTGTAGTAGATTGAATACTGCTTCTGTTCTATAATCACCGTCGTACGTACTGCCACCAGATTAGAATTAAACAAATAAGAAACTCTAAAGCCTTTACAATGATGGATAGTCAGAGATGAAGACAATAATTATTGAAAAGACTTGTATGCACTTGCTTAATCCGTCTTTGACATAATCCAAAATATAAGTGCAGCTTACTGATCGAAGGATCGAGGATGTTGTTTTTCACACTTTCTATTAAGCAATCAGACCGAGATGAGACCCCATAGCTACACCATCTTTCGAATTTGAATTGGATATCAAACGTACAGCTGAAAGGTAGTTCCTTCAGGTAATTGATGGGAAGAGGAACTTCTAGGTTGTTGAATTGGATGTGGTCACAGATTAATCGTATTTTCTCGGTCAGTGGGATTCTTGTGAATAAAGAAGTGACATCTAGTGAAAGCATTTGTCTTTCAAAAACGTTGGTATCAATCACTGAATCGAAGAAGTCAAATGTATCGCTAAGACTATACTTTGTTGTATGTTTTCTTACCGGTTCAAGGATATCTGCTAGTCACTTCGCGATGCGATGGCATGGTGAGTTGACCATGTCTACGATAGGTCAAAGTGGAAGATCCTTCTTATGCACTTTAGGCAATCCATATAGTCTTCGAATAATTGAACTGTATGGATCTGATGAAATAACTGAATCTTTTTCCATTTTCTTCAGTAATTGTTTAGGGTGTGTTTTTGTTGCTTTCCGTTGAGTCTTTCTGGTTGGGTGGTCTGAAGAATTTGGTGTTGTCTGATAGTATGTTTGTTGATATAGTCAGATCACTTCATCATCACAGTCCCATTACCCTTATCAGGACGGACGACGATTATGTCTTTATTTTCTCGAAGTTGTCTTAGTTGTTTTCTGTGTTCCTTGGTTAGCAGACAACGATGGTTCGGTTGTGCACAAATGGTTGGAGTCAAAGATCAATAGATAGTTTTAACAGCAGATCAGATTAAAATTCTTATTTCAGCGATTTCATTTTTACAACTGCACAAATGCCTTCTTACATGGACTAATAATAGATGATAACAAATTTGCTTGTTTTGCTATTAATATTTTGATAACGAATTAATTATTAGTCGTGATGATATATAAATTATGAATGTGTGGGAGAAATGTGAGCGGTTAAAAGTTAGAGTGAAATAAAAAAGGCATATAATTCAAACCAGTGACAAGTGTTCAAGTTCCTATTTACATAATATCCGAGCTTAGTAATAGGGAGTGAAGTGATAGAACATGTTGACCACTTCACCTATTTGGGAAGTTGTATTAGCACCAACGGACTGATTGGCGATGAAATCTCAGCACGGATCCGAAAAGCTCGAGCTGCTTTCGCTGACTTACACCATCTCTGGCGTAGGCGTGACATCCGTCTATCAACCAAGGGACGTGTGTACTGCTGAGCAGTTCGCTCCATCCTTCTCTATGGCTCTGGAACATGGCCAGTACGAGTTGAAGACAAGAAAAGGTTGACTGCTTTCGATCATAGATGTCTGCGATCTCTGTCTCACGTGAGGTGGTTTAATAAGGTAAGTAATGTCGACGTTAGGCGTAGAGTGTTGGGCAAAGAGGGAAAATCAATTGACGAGGCTATAAAGTTACACAGGTTGAGATGGCTAGGTGACGTGCTGCGCATGCCTAAACATAGCCTCCCCCGACGGGGATTATTAGCTGATATAGGTGCAGGTTGGAAAAGAGTAAGTGGTGGCCAAACAAAAACATGGCCCCATCAATCCATGAAATCCTTGACAGTTAAACTGAGTCAGTCAGGTAGGGAGATGCATACTTCCGGGTTGGGGCCATTGGGACTCTAGGAATCAATGGCTGGAGACAATAGGTGACATGGCTCAAAATCGTTGTCAATGGCCAGCACAGATGTATTCAGTCTCTGTAATCTTTCATATTCCTTTCTACCACTACCCATTCTGTTTCACTCTTATACTTGTCAGACTGTATTGATTCTCTTCACTCATCTTCTTGTCTACCTTTGTGTGCTATTTGGAACGTGGCAACTCGAAATGCTGCACTTCGGTGCCAAGTTCTATGTTGAATCCAGACAGACAGACAGAATACCTGCCATGATTTGTACTTTATAAAACTATATGAGAACCACCCTACAGAGTATATTTTTTTGTAATGGAATAATTTTTAATGAATATCTTAATAATAATAATAATACGAAACAAGTATTTTAATTGTTTGTATTGTATTCACTTGTTCTCTCTTCCAATACATTTATACACAATATTGTCAGCTGGGTTCACCGGGTTTACAGACAATCATAAAAAGTGTGAAACATGTGGAGAATTGGCTACTGAATGATATCCCATGGATTTCAGATAGTGATCTTATAGTAAGTGGATCTGAAAAATACTTTAGTGCCCATTTAATATCAACCGAAATACATTTCATATATATATATATGTATGTATATATATCTTGCAGTGATGTGCGACCTATTGTATTATCACTCTGAATAATTCTATTTAATTGGCGTTTGTGCAATGAGAGGCTGTTTTTATGCGCCAATTAACGTTCCTTTGAATCTGTTTATAAAAAAAATAACATTTTACTAAAAACTTCTATTGTCAAAAGATTAAACTACCACAATGCCTCAGCCCTATATCTTTTCTGATAGTCTTCCGAATGACAATATACAAATACAAATGATGTTCTAAAATGTCTCCAGTCTTTGAACCCTTCTTTTAGTCTAGGTACAGATGGTTTACCAAGTGTTATTCTTAAAGAGTGTGCAGATGTCCTCTCATGGATATATTTAACGGATCTTTTTTCAGAAATGCCGTGCCAGCCGTTTGGAAGGATATGAAAATTGTACCTATACCTAAGTCATCTACTGAAACATGTTTTAAATTTAGACCTATCACTATTACCTGCCCTATGGAAAAGTTACTCTTAATTAATCTTCAACCTTGACTTAAAGTCTTCAGGGATCACAAACAATTCGCCTATAAACAAAGCAGAAGTACTTTCTTCCTGCATTACACATCTGCTTTCTATTCAATGCCTAGGGATATTTTGTTAAACAAGCTGGCTGAAACTCAAACTGACTGTTGGGTAGTCAAATGACTCAGGAAGAAAGTAGTATACTGTATGTCAGAGAAAGTCGCCCACTTCGTTGCTTACTGAGGCTAGTGTCCCTCAAACAGCTGTCCTTACTCCTTTTCTGCTTTCTTTCTTCGTGCATGAATTGCCTCACTCTGATGTAATGAACTTTGTTAAGTATGCCGATGATCTTACCATTTTAATGTCTGTTAACTCCCAGCTAGACTGTACTAAGATGAACAGCGTTCTCTCAGGAGTTGGCAAATGGTCCTCGCCTAACGGCTTTAAACTGAATCCTTCTATATGTCAGACAGTTAATTTCAGTTTCCGATGTAAAAGAAAGTTAAATGAAGCTCTTAATTCCTATGACCTTGCAAAATTGATGATAATGATATAGAAATCAAGTCTGAAGTTAAGTTTCTTGGATTAATTCTTTCTTCTGACCTATCCTGATCTTCCCTTGTCTTGACGATTTCTAAAAGAATATTTCGTCTGTTTGAAACAAACTCACTGTTATTATTATCATCATTATGTCTAATACTCTCAATTCGTGCTTCGAATATTTTTGGCTTTATATCGTAAACGTAGACAAATTCCTCCGGTTAATTTTATTTTAATTTTGTTTATATTTTTAGTAAATCAGATGCAATATTGTGACAAGTGCTGAGAATTCCATTCTGTATTATAAGTACTGTTTTTTGAATAAAGTAGATTATTATATATATATATCCCTTGCATTCCGTGAGGAACTCAAGACTTCAAGCTTTAGGTTTCAATCTTAAATAGCGATAGTATTGTTTTTCTACGGAGGTCAGTTACTTGCCTTCCATCTAACCTTCCCTTCTTTCCGGTCTGACTGCAGGCTTAGTGAGGCTTTGCAGTGCGTCAGCTGGGAAACACACATCGACTATGTGCATGACTAGTGAGGATTCTACAACTGAATTACTGACACACAACAATATTAGACAACAGCAGAAGGCAAGACATGGAAGCAAATGCACATTTTCAACTGATCAAACCTCTATTTATATATACACAGTTTAAATCCTTCCACCGATTTCTGAACGTGGGATTTTAGTTTACATTAAGCGACGTGAAATAGAATGTTCAAATATGCATAGCATTCTGTCGCTAATGCAATTTATGACTGTGGGAATATGTGAGAATAATATTCCGCTGGAACACATTGTCTGTATCACACCACTAAAGTTATGCATCTAGCATTACTGAAATGTTGTATTTCCATTTAACTACAAGCGATTTTCAAAAAGACTACCCAATCAGACAGAATTCTATCCAGAATTATTAACCTTTGTTGTGCTTGAAATCATTCATTAAAATGGTTTAACTACAAAATAAAACATAACTTTCTTTAGGTATGTGTATACACTTTACAGATGGGTTTAGAACGAGAGCTCTCTTGGTTAACTACTCTTTACATCTAATTTAAATTATTCAGGTTTTACAGTGAGGAGACAAGTTTCAAAACCTTACTTTTTGGTTCCAAGTACAGATCAAGTTAACTGTGAATAACAATATACAGTTCACTGTTGACCGACTACTGTATGCTGTTTTGAGAATAAACCTGAAATAATCATTCTTCACTCAATTAATTTTGGGTGTTTTTGTCACATTTTGAATTAATCAAAACTATTCCCTTTAAATTTGAGGTATTCACGATGACGTCGAAATTCGAGGAAGCAGTTTGCACTACCCCTTACATTTATGTACGCCTTTATCGTGAGGTGCAAAATCCATTCAAATTATTTTGAAGTACCAGAGTTTACAATCTTGTTTTATTAAAACTATCGAGATTATACTTAGCTGTTATTTATTTAACAACATAAAATAGTCAGCTTGAGAAGAAAAGAAGGAGCTGAAACCAAATTGAAGTGAGAAGCTTCAAAGAATAACCTTGCTTCTATCAAGCAAACTGGTGAAATCACCTCCATTTAAGGATGAGAGTTAAAAAGGGTGTTCTTTCCACTTTCTTCAATTTTTCAGGTGTTAGGATCCAACTGTCCAACAATACAAACAATAGAAATGGTTAACAATCAAAGTGTAATAATATCAGATGTAAAAGTTGTGCCAAAATTATATAACCATCCAGAAAAATCAGCTCCTGTCAGTGCGATTGCAACATCAAAGAATAAACAAAGCCGACCAATTACATGCACAGGATTAATCTCAGAATCTTACGAAATACCTCAGACAAATTCAACAATGTACTCTGGAGGACTTATAACAGATCAAGGCTTAGAATCAATATGTAGTAAACATTTGAAGCGCTTCATGATTTCTAATCAAAATCTATGCGATGGATCCGGGCTTCATGTTCTCGGGTCAGCTGATATTTCATCAAGACGACAATCTAGCTGTAAAAGTAATCGTACATCCAGCCGCAGCTCCAAACTGTTTGAAAATGGAAGTGCTAACTTACAGAGACTATCAGTGATAGACTGTCCAAAAGTTAGTGACATAAAATATCGATTTTCCAGTGTTAAATATTCAGTTTATGAATGTTTTTATAGTGCTATAACAAGAGTCTTTAAGACAGATGTCATTATTGGCAATAATGAAGCACAAAACGGAGCATTTGTATGTTTTGATGAAACTTATGTGAACTTTGATTCGACAGTAGGCAGTAATTAGTGTAATACGTCTAGTCCTCTGTTTAGTTAAGACTGAATTCTATCAATCCAGTTTGTAATGTGGCCACCATTCTGCGTGGATCATCATCACCGTACATTGTGAATTGTTGTCATCAGACTGTCGGAGGGAATCAGCAGTGATGGTGGCCCACCTAGCATGGCGACTACACTGCAAACTGAACAGAAAAGTTCACCCTGCATCAAAGAAAGGACTAGACACATGACATCACTCACTAACTACCTAGTTTCCGAACGAGAGGTCGAATAGCTCAGTGTTAAAGTCTGTGACTGTGTCACTGGATGACTCGAATTAAGATCTCAGAGAGGACATGAGTTCCTTCAAGAATAAAGATACGCCTTGTTGACTGGTGTGTGTGACAACAAACACGAAACCTTGGTCGAGAGATTCCTTCTGTTTGCCTCTAATCGTCGAATAACAAGAAAACTATCTGTATTTTGACTAGAGTTAAATGCTTCTCGACTGTCTCAATATTACAGTAAATTGTTTTGTAGTTTATCAAACTCACTAAAAGCAACGAAGTAACTAGTGGGTAAATTTTTCCTGAGACGCGAGAACTCACCATTATACACACGCATTAGTGGGCGACATTGTCCTCTCCTCAAAACATGCTAAATTCTCCAGAAGTTAAATATGCTTTCAGTTTTGAAATATTTCTCAAATAAAATGACTCTATTGATTAATCTTATACTGCCTTTCGCATTTCTGGGTTGTTTATCAGTTCTCCCTCAATTCCATCTTTATTTGATATAAAATTCGAAAATGAACCACTTGTACGGAAACATTTCTAGCGCTAATTATACCAAGTGCTTCAAGTACATTTCAAATTAATGTATATTTTACGATTTTATTCTGCACAACTTAAATTCACTACTTGTCACATGATTTTACTCTTTTCCTTCTTCCGTAGATGTCTGATTTCCTACTTCAGTATTTGGCACTTCTGAAGCATTTAACAATTTTAAATCTAACCGGTTGTGAAAATCTTACAGATTATGGTATTAAGTTACTAGCTGATGGAGAATATGCAGGCTGTTTACGCGAACTTTATTTAACACGTTGTATTAAGCTAACTGATAAGGCTATTCATTCAATGAGTGGACGGTAAGCTGAGCATAAGTTTAAATCTTTATTATAATATCAGATATATTCACCACTAAGGAAAGAACAGTAGTTCTATTTGCTAGTATTAAATATCAGTTGGAATATCTGATAAATGCATTAACGGCTTTCTGATTACTTGTACTTACTTATCCGCAATTGTAATGCAATGCAGTGAAGAATTGTGGATGCACTAATACGACGGAATGAACAGTATACTTTTTGATGGTCATTTTATGTTCTTGGATGCGAAGACGTAAATAGTGTCTACTTTGACCACAATAATGTTTTTTTCACAGACGTCGAAATTAATCTCGTTGGTGATATTGGTTTTATCTTCATTCGCTGTTCTGTATTTTGGTTGACTTGGAGCAGACTGAAGTGATATAGTTTGGTTTGTGGCCAACGTGGATTCCAGAAGGTCTTGCGGCAGTTTTAAAGATGTTCTTCATATATGGAAGAAGAATATTCTTTGTGCTTTCATTGAATACTTATATATTTGATTTGATTTTTGAATACAGCTTGATTCCACAGTGTATTTTTGGTACAAGTATGGAATTTTCAGAATGGATATCGGTAGCCCAAATTTTGCATTGATATCAGGTGTGCGTCGGCAGGGGATCGAACCTTGGACTATGTGCATGGTCGGCGAGAGTCCTAACCACTGTGCCACCGACGCTGAGTTAAGATTATATGCGGTGTGACGCTGATAAGATATTTTTCTTGCATAAACTTCAAGGCAGGAAGGAGTGCTGTGATGAGTCCTGGCTCTTTTGAGTAATGTTTGCATGCAATTGTTTTTGTTGTTGTTGTTGTTGTAATTAATTATTCGATCCGTGGAGAACAATTTTCTGTATAATTGAGTTTCTAATTTCTTCGTAGTTGTTCGCTTGACTAAGACATTTAAAAAGGTAATTTTGTTCTCGTATTTCTCTTCTCTTATGAATTTGATGTTGTTGAAGATGCTGTTGATTAGGCTGTGAGTCTTTTTTTTTGACATGATTTCTCCTTATTGTCACCAATGTGTCAACAACGTAAGGTAACCATATTTTGAGTTTGATTTTCGGTAGGGTTATTGTTTCAAACTTTTGCGGAATGTTATATACTAAGAGTCTTATTAAACGAATTAAGAAGACACATTATTGATTAGTAAACGTTGTCAGTACATACTTTCACTATCTACTTGTGAAGTATAAAGTTGCTGTCTCATCGAATAACATGTGTCAGTGGAAAGCATTGGTAACAATTGACTCTAGCTGAACAATAAACAAAACATTTAGACATTAGTAGTCCAATAGAAAACAGATACCCTACGAATTCTCATTATCACCCTTCAGAATGCAGTTTCATTAAACATTCTAGTCCGAATTGTGAAATTATGTGACAGTGAATATTCTTACTCCTGGTGTATTAAACTATGGGTATTAGCAAGAAATATCTGTAGTGTTTCCCAATTGGCCACACTAAATAACAATAATCTTTCTGTCAGACATCAAGATACACTGTCATTATGCGATGTAATCAAACAGTTGTTTCTCCTCTCTGACTATTTTCAGCCTGTCTAATTTAGCTTATCTGAGTTTGGCATCATGTCCATTAATCACTGATGCAGCTTTTGAATTACTGAGTCAATTTCAACAATTATGGCAAATAAATTTAAATTCAACCAAGATTGGTGATCGAGTAAGTGTTGCTAAAATAATTATTTGATTTAAAACAATTAGTTCCCTTTTATGAATTTAGATAAGGCAATAAGAAGACGTAATTTGTCTGAATCGTGTAATCTATTTGAGTGCACAACACATTTCGAACAATCTGATCTTACTCTACAGACTTCTCATAGGATTATATATGAAATTAATAAAGAGTTAAGAGGTGAGAAAATAGACTTGTCTCTGTAATATCTTTCGCGATAGAGCAGCTAGGTCTCCTGTTCTCACCATTAATGGGTTCTGAAGATTCCATTTGTTTCTGGAGCCATTTAAGAATATGCTCTGAAGCCCTCACTTGCAGACATCGATGAGTCCACCCTATGTATGTGTGTCAACTCGTACATTCAAATTGGTAAACACACTGGGATGTGATATAATTTTTCACATATTCGAGGGACTTAGATAGAAATACTGGCTTCATGTTCTCAATTATTCTGATATTAGCTGCATAAAAAGCCTTTTTAACAGCAGCGTTCAGTCTATGTTATCAAGCTGTTATGATTCCCCATATAGGGTAGCTTGATATAGACGTCTTTCTTGGGGGCGAGTTGTAGAGTGGGTCTTGGTGTTCTGACTACTTTATATCTCCTGATGAACTTGTCTGGATAACTGTTATCAACCAGAGTTTGTGTCAACTTTCTTTCTTCTTCATCAAGTGTGTCTTCAGTGCATATTCGTTGGATTCTACTGAAGAGGCGTATCCTGAAGTTTGTGGAAGCCCCAGCTGGGAATTAATAAGTTTAAACCACCTCTATGCGTTCAAAACAATTCGTCATCATATTAAACCCTCCTTGGTAAATTTTGTTTTGATACCATAGCAGATGTACTGTTACCTCTGCTATTCGGTTTAGTGGTCTTCATTGTTATTTTGACCTTGAATATGTCCTTTTAACTTGACCTAAGTCTATTTTCTCACCTCTTAACTCTTTATTAATTTCATATATATTCCTATGAGAAGTCTGTGGAGTGAGATCAGATTGTTCGAAATGTGTTGTGCGCGCAAATACATTCCACGACTCAGACAAATTACGTTTTCTTATTACCTTATCTAAATTATTTCATTTCCATAAGTACTGACATGCATTTTGTTGTAACGATTGATCACGCATAGTGAGTTATGTGGTTACCGGTTACAAAATCACGGAGGTTCATCCTGAATATTAGAGAATTCATTCGTCACTCATATCTTAACATTTTCACACATATTCCAAATATATTGTCTCTTAGACTTCTCTAACATTAATAATTACTCTCTGAGTTTGAAAAATTCACTTTCAAATTGAAACAGTATAAGTAACTGAAGTAAAATTTGATGAAATGTATGTACTATTGTTTAACACATTTCGCTCTAATCACGACTAAATTAACGCCTTAATGAAGAGCTCAGTGTTATGAAACAGTTACTGAGTGTAGATGATTACTCAGAGAGATTCATTGACAATAATATGAATCTACAGACAACGTAACCTAAAGAGTATCAACAGTTCCGATGAAGATAGATCTTGTTCCTAAACCTTTAGTTTATCGATGATAACACCGGTGAAATAATAATACAACGCCTAAAGAATGCGGTGAAAATAGCATTCAGTGTTGCTGAAGTTCACTGTGTCTTCAAATTTATCCTATTTTAAGTCCGGGAGTTGATGATAAACTACTCAATTTTTGCCTTTTCCATGTGTATTTATCAGTTTGACTGCTCCTATGCGGCTAGTTATATAAGACATAAGATTAGACATGTTTATCATCCGATTTACAAACATTATCTCATGTGGTTATGCAGTGAACAAACGAAGTCCATTTTCAGGTTTATTCTAGCTCATTTAATGAATAAATAAGACAAAATTGATATCACTAAGGCTTTGAAAGTTACCTATAGTATTCCGACTAAGTTAGTCCGTTCCACTTTTCTGATGTCATCAAAGTCCACCTGAGTAAGCCTAAATTATGCTCTCGAAAGAAGTTCGTCCTAAAACGCTTTCGCTAACTTGGCCAACAGTGTTTTATCTATCCTTCATCGCTAAATAAAATTTGGTGTAACACTTTTCATCTTATTATAATTTGAAAAATCACATCAATTTTGTTACTAACGTTTATTCTAGAATATCATATATACATATATATGTGATTGTATACCCAGACAAATAATTTATCAAAAAGGATATTATTTGCTCGAAATTACTTCTTGTCTTCTAATTTTACTTTCATCTGTTTGTTTCTTTAATAAACTTTTAGGGGTTATCTGCACTTGGTTCATTGCCAAAACTACGTGAACTCAAAGTCTCCAAGTGTACTGTGATCACAGATTTAGGCTTACAAAAATTTGCCCACCTGGGAATCAATTTGGAATACATTGACTTATCATTTTGTCATGTAAATTCAATTTTATAAAATTCTTCTTCCTAACAACCATCACTTATTTAAAACAAATTCTAGAATCTGACAAATAATGGAATTAAGACATTGGCCTTCTGTTGTCGATATCTTGTCAGTCTTAGCTTGGCTGGATGTATTCAGGTATATTGATGATATTCGCTTCAGTAAATTTGTGCCATCTTGTTTTTTTCACCATAGTTAACAGATATTGCTATACAGTATGTATCAGGAGTATGTCACTATTTGAGATTTCTTGATCTTTGTGGATGTGAACTAATCACGTGAGTTCCTGTTATTGATTGCATTGTACTGAAAAAGCGAATATTACACCTGGCTGGTTTTCCGCTCACAGTGTGTATGTGTTGTATTTTGTTTGATCAGGTTTAAACTGTCGTTGATTTAGATTCCATTACGCAATCTTCACTGATTACTGTTCATCATGGGAATACATATATGTATACATATAATATCACCGTAAAATCTAGGTGGAATTACAAAGTCATAACTAGTAGCAATACACAGTTTAAGTCATCTCTAAACTAAAAGCCGGTTGTCATTTGGATTTACTTTCCCTCGTAAACTTTATTTAAACATGAAGGTTCCCAAGTTTCAGTTCAATCAGATATCTTTCTATTTTAAAAATGATGACGAGCATCTTTTGAGATCTTGTTGTTCAGATATTTCTCGTTTAATTACAGTTATTTTCTACAACATTCATTTTAACTATGAATTCGAATACTTTAAATGTGTTTCCATATATTCAAAGATCTGTTCGACTAGTTTTATCACTGTCAAAGAGGGTGGACGAGCGCATTCTGAAATTGTTAGAAAAACAAATGGAATTTGTAAAGTCGACAGACTCAGGTAAATACTTAATCGATATGATGTCAAAATAGCATTTAAGGTTATTTATAAGAACGGTCAAAAATGCTTGTTGAGATATGCTGAGGAGATAGCTATTCGTAAACTTAAGCCCAACTTCCACACCGCCGTGTGAACAAAAACAATTTATTATTATTTTAACCTACCTTGGGGATACTTATCTGATTACACTACCAAATGCAGTGTTAATTATTATTAATTATTATTATTAAATCCATTATCACTATGTTTATCCCAACTGGTCTTCTTTAATTCTACGTAAATTGATTTGACAAACAAATCTGTGTTCAGACTGTTCGCTATGTATTGCGAAAATACACCACACTTCAGATAATCTTCATCTTTTACTAACACTGTGCATCAGAGGTTCGGCGATGGAATGGTCGCTAAACACGTACGTGGTCCGAGGTAAGATTCCCGACCGATGCAGTCCTTAGCCTCTCTAAGCCCATAATAAGGCTGCTAAAGAAGGAAGGCTAGGTGTCGGGTCAGCAACCTCACCTCGTTAAAAATGGAACAACAACTACTGAAACTTTAAAGCCTGAAGCCGTATGTTCCACTCGGAACTCAAAGAAATGAAATAAAGAAATCCAATAACACTACTTAGAGTTGTTAAAGCGACTGTTTTGGAATTTATTTATCGACATATTTAATGAAACAAAAGAGTGACTTTGTTTCATATTCTCTTTAAGTGTAGCACTATGGTCTGTTGCTGTAGTCAATTAGTGACAAGTTACATGTCTTGTATGATTTTTAAATGAAATTTCGCATTAAAAATGTCTTCTGGCATACATGATATCGGTGGCATTATATTCTTGAACTGAACCACGTTTTACTGTACTTTTGTCAAAAAACCCGCTTGATACTGATGTCTGTGCAATGGGATGGATTAACGGGGGCAACAAGTTAAAAATTTAATTGTATATTACTAAATTTTCAAGAAACTGTGCTGGTATATTTTGGCCTACTTATTGGAACGCCCCCTAATACCAAGTGGATGAAGGGGGCAGCATTTCAGAAAAGGCATGTGCCACATAATCGCCTGAATGAAAGCTGCCACCAGGATCTTTTGTTATCAATATATAAATAACTTCTATTTATTATAACAGAAAAGGTATCGTAGACTTGTATTCAGCTTCTGTTTTGTTGTTCAGGTATAAGACAGTTTCCCAACTGGAAGAATTTATGCTGAAAATTCTGGGAATTACACTATAAAGTCATTTTGACTGCAAAACATACTCTTCACTGTGCTGTTTTGATATCCATGTTCTGTATGCTTTTTCTGTAGCGGTACTCATAATGCCATTATGTTTGTGTTACATAATTTTAGAGAAACCTCTCTTACTCACCTTAGAAAAGGTTGCAAGAAGCTGAAACATCTCCGAATTTTATACTGCAAGTCAATTACGAAGTAAGCTTACATCAGAAATTATTATCGTATATAAATAAAAATGTATAAACATTTACTTCACTATTTCTTACATGTCGAAAATCATCAAGTACTACACTGCAGGGATTTGATTGAATTCAGCTTTGCTGACGAACTGACGAACATTAGATGAACAAATACAGTTTATTAAAACAGATTAAATTTAGTCATTTAGATGATAAAGTTATGAAGTTCTTAGGAAAAAGTGTTCTGAAACCTGCAGTAAGTAGGAGATTCCGCAGGACAGATTAACTAGGCACTGGGCAGAATATTTGAGCTCTAGCTCAGCTAACCTGCCACCCCTTCAGTTTCTCTGAATTCAACTCCAACCTGCAGGGACTGTTGTCATCGGTAGGCGAAATGTAGTTGAGTTTGCGAAATCTGTCTATTAGTGAGTACATTTATCAGACCTTCACATACCATCGGTTCATAGAACACTGGCATACTTAATGTGACACTTGAAAAATTTAATCAGCCATAATGGATTGATTGTCAGTAGAATCTCGGCGTGGATACAAATGTCACTTACCAACCTGCACAGATTCAGCATTCTGCAATTTATCATCCTGCGTACACACATAAAGCAGTTTGCTTCAAAATGTTTCACGGTTATGAAGCATGTCAGTAAAAGACGGAAGATTAGACTAAAAAGCTCTCGCATTTATTCCATTCTGTTAGGTGGGCTATGTTGCTAGTAATAGTAAAGTTATGCGTACAGCATTTGATAGAGAAGAAGAATCGATTGGTAAACTGTAAAGTTTTATCTATCAAGGTGGCCGAGAGACATCTCACTCATGCCAAATCACGTCAAGCGATTTTGACATTAATAAGAATAGGGAATGATGAAGGAAATTGGCATCTCAGGTAGATGCCTTTTCTGTTGTCGTTATGATAGATTTAACAGTGGTTAGGTCAAATATAACACTATTCCAAGGAGCTATAGCCTGCCAGTTTGACTCACCTAGAGAAGTGTTGACTGTAGAATAGATGTCCTCGTTATGCTAATGATCTATTGATGGAGGATGCTTGTGACATGACTCAGTACTGACAACTTATTCTTATCTTCTAGATTCTGAAGCTGTTCAACAGACTTCACCTTATTATCTTTTGTTCCGTTCGTTGTAGTTTCAACATATTTCTCTGCTCTACTTTTCTGAAGTGAGACAATTTAGACTTTCACTGTTTTGTGTGAGTTTCTCTGCTGTTGTTAGGTTGGTCAAACAGCCAGTTAACAGTCAGCTGTCTGATAGTGACCAAATTCATGAATTCTGTTTTCACATTGTTACTGTCAGACATATCAAAATGATAATAACACTAGTCTTGTTTTGGTTTACAAATCTACTTATTTGGTCGTGTGATTATTATCTTAATTGACATGCTTATTTGATAAAATGGACGTAACTGTTACTAGCGTAAATATTTGACTGAGTGTGAATGGAAACAATACAAATAAGTGTCAGTTGATTTCAGTATTACAGTATCAATAACTGACTTGTATTCACTGATCGTTATTTTTGTTTTGAAACCTGATTTCACCTAGACACAAAATGGTTCGTTTAACAACTGGACGAGTTGAGAAAGTTGAATATTCAACAGATAGTCCACCAGACGATTTTCTTCCGAGTCCAACAAAAGAAAATGCATGAAATGCTCAACCGAAAACGTGTTCTCATTGATTGTACTATCTTTTATTCGCCTATTTATGGAACTTTTCTTACAAAGTATATCATACATATGACTTCTTGTTTATGTCTCCGATTATAGAGTGTGTGTTATAGGTACTTTGTGAATGATCCGTCTTCACAACATATTTCCCTAATAATAGAAAAGATTTGTAACTCAGGTGGATAATTTGCATTTAATAGTGTTTTCTGAGCTCAGAGAACACTATTAAATGCAAATATTTCCCTAATCACAGTATTATGCAGTTTTAGTATACTTTTGATGCCATTCATAAAAGATATTTTCTATCTACATATCTATCTGTATATATCTGCGATATATCACTGAATATACCAAAGTAGAACAGGATTATTCACTAAATGACGATTCAAAAACAATTTTTCGTCCATAATTACATCAGTTTATCCATTTACAAATAAACATTTTACGATAATTGGTGTTTCTTAAATGAAGGCAGCACTCCAATTTATTGCAAAATCGAAACTCCAGAAGTTTTACTTTTAGCGGTGATATTCACTTAAAGGCATTCTGATTTAAACAAGACATCAGGCTGACTATCTATGAGGATATTTTGTTTGATAAATATCACGGTTGTTAATATTGGCATTTTGAAGATGAATGTCGCAAAATGTATACTGAAGAACTAATAGTAAGATGAATTCCGTATTCAAATGACTATTGAATATTCCCTTGGTTCAGAGATGGAGAGAGCTAGTTGGAAAAGTAAATAATGGGAGTGTTTATATCATCTTTATAATTTCTAATGAAGGCCACTTTGAAAATTCGTTAGGAAAATTAAAAAGCAATAGGCAATAAATGCATACAACATTTTGGTATTCGTTTCCACGAAATCACATTGCAGTGGGGGCTGAATAATCTTTATTAACTTGCTACCAGGTGATTTGCATTTCTACTAATTAAATCTCATGAATTTCTCCTAATCTGATTGAAGATAACATAATCAAATAAAAGGAGGAGTTGAGACAGCGAGTTATCAGAGCGAAGAAATAGTGATAAATATCATTTTCCGAACAATTTGTTCAGCAAACTTTAGAAGGATTGTATCATATTCTGTACTCGTGATCTTGAATGACCTCCGGGTGTCCACCTCATAATATGTATCAACGAGATGTCCGGTGATAGCATTCGTTTTCTCAAGTCACAGGCCTTTCGGTACATGTTCAGCGAATCTATGGTATGGCCTTCTTCCTGTTTTCGAAATATAACTACTACAACTCATACAATAGATTTTTGCACACACGAGAAGCTTATCTATCAAACTTTGATTGTGACAAGCAGCATGTCTTTCAATGAAAGGGAACCAACTTGGTTGCAGAGAAGATTCTAGCTAGTGAACTATTTAATCTTCCGTTGATTATTTATGAAATATTATCACCTTTAAAGTCAAAATGTATGAATTTCGGCTTCTTCTTCACTGTGTTCTTTTCTATATTTCGATCTATAGATCTCTGTTTTTTTAATGGATTTTTGAAAATGACGGTTATTTTTAAAGGTTTCTCAAGTTTCAGAAATTATTCTTCCAACTCTTCAGTAGAGCACATTTTTTCTGATTCTGTGAAACAGTTCAGATCTATGACAAGTGATATCTGATCAGATGCACCTGTTGAAATTTAAACACATGTCCATCGCACGTAGACTTTTGGTGAATGGATATTTGAAGACTACTATCTCCTAAGGCCTCTATGGCGATGTCGAGAAAATGTACCTTCTTATTGTTTTTATGTTCCGTGCTGAAGTCAGTATTTTCATTTTTCGTTGCTGAGTAATCCAACTACTCAGGAGTCATGACTTAAATTATCGCATTCTATAAATGTGTCATCAGTATTTACTATTATTATTATTATTATTACATTCTTTAATTCCTAGAGGAACATAAGGCTTCAGCCGCGCGTCTCCATTGAGTTCGGTTTTCTGCCAACATTTTCACTCCACTCCAAGTCTGCCCACAAGCTTGTCTTGCTTTCCCGATCCTTGCTTTGATATCCTCGTCAGTTCCACCTGTAGCTGAAACGATGCTTCCTAGGTGAGTAGGTAAAGGAGGTTGTTTATTTCAGGTTCCTCCCATTTATGCTGGCTGACTGCTGTCTGATGTTGTTGCTGCTGCTGGTGTTGGCCAGGAATCTTCATCACCTCTGTTTTATCTATGTTCACTTGAAGGAAGTGTTATCTTCTCTGTATGCTTCTTCTGCCAACTTGTTGCTTTTTACTTGCACATCTTCCAGTTTGTGGGAAAGCAGACTTATCATATCATCGGCGAAGTCCAGATCCTCCAAGTTTTTCGTGCGAGTCGATTTTATGCTTGTTTCCTCATTGCCCACCCGTTGTCTGTCGGATTATCCAATCTACTGCGATCAGGAAGATCATTGGCGATAGTAGACATCCTTGCCTCACTCCCGTCCTCAATTCGAGGGATTCCGTAAGTTTCCCGTTGTGGATTACTTGGAATGCAGGATTGTCGTATAACTGTTGGTGGATGAGATGTATAATTGTCGATGGGACCCTGTAGTAGCGAAGTAGTTGCCAAATCACCTCTCGATAACGATAGTAATTTGTTTTATCAGATACACACTTCAGCTTTGTTATCTCAAGATGAAAACTGAAGATGTCTGTTAGCACAAGGACTAGTGAACTCATCATAGATACACCATTTAATTGACTGTGCAAAGTATTATTAAATTCTAATTACACATCAGTGGTTACCACTAGAAGTGGACGATTAAACTCTCACACCGGCAAGGAGAATAGTCTAGAATGCTAACAAATAGCATTGACAGTTTCCCCAGTATGAGTCTTTGTGGACAAGAGGTTTAGGTGAAATGACAATATAAAGATATTGAAAATGTTTGTGGGGATGGGACTTTCATGGAAGTGGAATGAGTATCTCACATTATATGCTTATGATAATTGATCATAGAGAGCGTATGTCTCAAGAGAACACGTCTGCATGTTTACGATGGGCTGTACATTTAATGCATACGATACTCTCGAAGTTTTGAAACAATATGTTTTCTTATAAGCTCTCTCAGTATACTTCTGCTGTGTCTTTCAATTCACCTTAAACCTCAACAGATTGTGGGATTACAGAATGCAATGCTGGTGATGTGAGATATTGGCTTGAAAAGTCAACCGATTGAAATTCGACAAGGTTTGTACGCAGCTAAAGACGATACAAGAAAATAAGTGATACCCTGATCTTATTCTGCATAAAGTGTTGTTTCTGCTTTCTTTATTCAAATTCTTACACTTTGCAAGGATAATGATTTATTACTGAAGACTTTTCTTCACCCATCTGAACACCGATATAAGTAAAACAGTAGTAATTTGTAGGTTGAAGCATACACTCTTTTCAAATATGTTGTATTAACAATTCATACGCATCAAGTTTGTCCATCATGCATGATGAAAACTGTTATATAATTCAATGAAAATCCTACTGCATAAAATTTACATATTAGTTTAGACTTCACAAATGGTTAGCTAGTAGTTCATACAAACACAACTATCATAAACAGAATGCTTAGATTATTAGATTAGGCTAGCAACCCCATCCTGTAAAAATCAAACACTGCTACAGAAACTTCAAGCCACTAGCTTGGAGCCCTATGTTCCACTGGGAACGTGAAGGAAAAATTATTATTATTCCCTTTGGTTCCGAGTAGAACATAGGGCTTCAACAACTCATCTTCACTTTCTTCTATTTACTGCCGACCTCTTCAGCTGTGTCCACAACTGTCCATAATATCTCATCCCCCTGTTCACACGATCTTCTCCATGTCACCCTCAGAGCGACGACCCACTCGTCATTTCCCATTCGGAATCCACTTGGGTAATAGCCCTGTGCTTGATACCAGACGATGGCTACCTCAGCATACGCCTGATCCATCTTCATTTTCGCCTACATGATTGTTGAGCAATCGCCTCTTGGTCTTTTGTGGCCAGCCTGAGTTTATTGTTGCTAATTCTTTGTGGTGATTCGCTCTTTTTTATGGGGCCAGTGAAGGCAGCTGTTGATAAAAGTCTGCAGTGGCCTGTTGGAAATCCTTTTCGCGACACGCTGGCCAACTTTCTGACCAATATAGAATAACTGACTGACTTCGTATTTCTGCTGAAAATCCAAATACTGCTGTTTAGCCAGAGTAATGAAGATTTTCAAACTGGTTTCAGTTTGATGAGGGGATATCTCTCCTTTCCGACTCTGACCTGCTTTGCCATCTTCATTCGTGCCACCCCGTTGTAGTTGAAGCCGTGCTTCTCAGATAAGTGAAAGAGGTAACCTCTGTCAAATCTCTCCCTCTGATGGTGATTGGTGCTAGTTGTTGTTGCTGTTGGTTGGCAATCTTCATCACCTGCGTCTTCGCCGTCTCACTTGAAGTCCTGTCTTCACATCCCACTTCTTCAGCAAGTTTGTTGGTTTTCGCCTGCAAGTCTCAAATTTGTGAGACATTGGACATTAATCATCCACATACAAAATCCAGATCTACTGGAGTCTTCTTATTGCTCCGACTCACTCCTCTCTTCTCGTCCACCACACAGTCTGACGCCTAATCTAGTCTACCTTAATTAGGAATATCGTCAGTGAGGTTTTCAATAGCTTGGAGAATAATAAAGGTAATAGTAATATGGTTATGAGAAGATGCTTAATTCTGTTTCGTCTAAATCTGCATATGGCTTTAGAGCAATTGTTCAATCACTTGTAAGGAAAAATAATTAAACAGTTGACTCTTCTAGATAACTATTTATGTCATATATGAAGCTGAGCTACAAAGACCAGAGTTACCTATTATAGTATGACTTCGATAACTAAACTTTGTACTACAAAATCCCATATAGTGAAACACAACAACCTCATTGAATTAAAAATAGATTCGTACTTCACTTTACCACTTAAACTTATACTTTTCTTTCTGAAGAACATCTGTAAGTTAGTAAGCGAATAAAAATA